AAGAGAGTAGGACTCAAAAGTCAGAGTAAACCAAACCAAAAGAAAAAACCTGAAAAAGAACGGTAAAATAAAGATCTCCAACAGAAGAATCCATAACAGAAGGCTATCAATGTGAACCCAGAACCTCTTGCTTCCACAACAATCAGCACAGCACAAGCAGGGTTTCAACTCGCCCGAAACCAGACAAGCCCATGGCAATTGAACATTGCAACGCCATAAACCGCCACCTGGGGATCGTTCAAAGACGACTCATCACAGTGAGCATGCTAAAACCGGGATGCTCTAAACTAAAAGAGGCTGAGGAAGCCGGAGGCATGGATGACTAGGAACCATAAAAGAGAAGATTCATCTTCACCATCTCCAGAAAACCAGCGAACCACAGCCCACCGCACCGAAAATGACACTTTCATTGTGTTTCTCTCACACCTCCTTGTAACTGTGATTCTCAATGCAATACAAAAGCTCCTATTGTAAAAAAATAAAAATAAAGACTAAAGAGAGTAGGAGGAGGAGGAGAGACAGGAAAACAACAAACCTACGGACAGGAGTTTAATTAAATTACGATATGAAAGATTTTGATATGAAAGAAAGAAAGAAATTCCCACCCAAAAAAAAAAAGAAAGAAAGAAAGGGATCATAAAATTATCAGCTTTACGCCTTTACTTATTAATTACCATCTCGGGCTTCTAAAATGGTAAAATAAAAGAAGCCGCAAATCGTAAATTATTGCTTGGGCTTTGGACCCAACAATGCCAACGAATCCAATGCAGTCTCTCATACACATGCCTTGCAAAAGTTTAAGTAATTAAAATTTATTCTTTTCATTCTTTTTAACGATAAGTTAGTAATTTAACGATTCATGAAGTTGGCTTCACGTAGAACAAAAATAATGAAGTTGGATTGAAAGTGCTATGTGGTAAAGAAAAACATAGAGTTAGTGACCATCAATTCCATGAACATTTTTAATAGCAAATGTGAAACAAAAAGGTAAACTCAATAACCAAACATGTCATTGAGCCCGAAGATGATCAATAATGTCAAGCATTGGTTGGTATCAAATCTCAACATCTTATGTAGGAAGTCGATATTTAGAGCCGCATATAGATTTGATTGTGAATTCTTTTACTCAAAGGTTTTGATACAAATGATGCATTATGATATATTGCGTTGGCTTCTCAGTTTGTTCGACATGTTGCAGAATGATATTTGTGCCTTTGATACGCGAGTCCCTCTGTGACTCGAGAGGAATAGAGGGGGTGAGCTGGCTTGTTCCATATAGGTAAATACGGCGATGTGGGTGCAAGTTGATGGTGCAGCCAGTGGGATTCTCATGATGTCAGGGGTTGGATTTTGCAGAATTCAACTGGTACGATGTCGAGTGTTGTAACTTCTATCTATGAGGCTCCGAGGACCCTTTCATGGAAGAGTTATTGGGGTTAAGGGATGTGATTCAGGGGGCTTGGCTAGAGAGGTTTAGCATGTGTTGTTGGACAAGGGAGCTCTGATAGATATGGAGCGATCTCATTAAAAAAATCATTTGTTTCATTTATACTTTCATCGGTTTAGCATTCGATTTGTTGGTCGGAATCGTAATGGTAAAAAAAAAAGTCATCTTTTACCCAAATTTTGATAGGGTCCGAAACTCATTTTTGACGTTTGACCGTCATATAACTTGTTAGTACATCTTTATTTTCTCGACAATACGATTGAACTTTTACAAGAGAGAAAAGGTAATTATAATATCTTGTGTGTCATGCGTCTCTGTTTTCTTGGATAGTTGGACATGAGAGCTAGGTAGATGTGATATGATGAAGTCATCGAAATGAGTCAAAGACAGATTTGAATACATGGAAGAACTACTACTAGATTCTGAATCACTGATAATAATTGTAGACCACAACCCCCAAAAAACAAAGGAAAATGTTGTCAGTCAGTCGAGAAGGAGACGTTTGGTTTTGCAAAAGGGTTCAGAATTCTATAACGTGACCCTTATAATTCGACCCTTTTTTATTTGCCTTGAAGACCTCCCACATCAAAACCCTCATTCCGATTCCACTCTTCTATTCTATTGCATTCCAGTTCAGTGTCACACTCACACACTCATCTTCTCTAGCGTCTACTGATTAGGATTAGCATTTAGGCCCATCAACTAATCCACCATTATCCACCCAATGAACTATAATTAACTAAGAATAAACAGATTCATTTTTTCCCCCGGAAGCCTTTATTTTTGTGCATGTGTAGTGTAGGTCTTTACCGTTTTATTCAAGAACAGCGGCCCAATACCTCAATATATATGCGGCGGCCTACCATCATATAATCATATACTTATATTGTATCGGCAGACAACTTAATTCGGTTTGAAAGGGAGGGTGAGAAATTTCGAAATAATTTTCAAATGCCGCACGCCTGCCGTTGATTCAAAACATTGGTTTTGTTCTCATCACGCAATGCAGCGTTAATTATTGATAATTCTGACAATGTTTTCATTCCCTGCATTTGAATTGAAGTTTTTCCTTCTCATACATTATACAAATGAATGTTTCTGAAGTGAAGCGACACTAAGATTTACAAATACGTTATTCACATATACAGAAGGACATTAAATAATATCGAATGGGCTAGTCTAGTGGTAATATAAGGATGAAAACATCTATTATATTCCGAGTTTGACCCTTGAGACCAATAACCAAGGAATTTTTTTGGATGCATGCCATATTCTTCTACATTACACTTGACACATCCATTTGCCAATATATAATTTGGGATGTTTGTTAATGTATTGCAATGTTCCAGATTCTGGACCCATGTGCGCCATTGTCACACATACAACAACTCATGTCACGTATTCCGCAACCAAGATTCTGCCTCTCTTTCTTTGCACTCCTCCACTCTCCTCTTTCTTTATATTTGCCTTTGAACTACATTGTACTATACATTCATCTTCCACGTTATATAATATGGTATGAACTTCTCGAGGATTCAAAACCAATTATATTCATTCATTGCATCCATAACTATGGAATCCAAGGACCAAAAGTTCAAAGATCAGACAATGTAGTACTAAAGTTTAAGCTCCCATAACTATACACTCCGGCTGCCTTATCTATTTGTCTTCAAGGCTTCAAACCATTGCCCACCTCTCATCTCATATGATCCGACCAAGCAAATCTCTCATCGACCAATATTGTCCCAAATTCGATGATTTATTTTGTGTTGAATATTTGAGTTCTCATATATCATCATCACTCTATTCGAAATTATGCATTATTGTATGGTGACTCACCTGTACTGTCACACTAGGAAGTGGCCAAGTGCAACCAACTACTAATGCGTAGTATAGCGGGTTTAATCTTAATTGTCAACCCGGGTCCTAGATGTGATGACTACTCCGTGAATTCTCGTTATCTAGCGGTTTAACTGTAGTGAGATTATGACTAGTCTAAACTAACACAAAGCAGTAAAAGTTGTAGTTCAAGTTTGAGAAGGCTCACTCAGGTATGAGTCCCCCTAGATTGCAGTTAAACCAAATTGTAATTCACCTCAACCAAGTTGATTGATGTTTAAACTGCGGAAGTTCTTAAATAGTCTGAAGTCTCGACTAAAGTATTTTAGACTCTCTCAACTAGAATACCCGGCGGGCGACTAACCTCCACCGGAATAAGCTAGCTGAGGCAATCAGATTACAACTTCCTCTACTGGTTTCTAAACCAGTACAGAGCAGGAATTGACTTCCCGACTAAGGTCGCCAAACCACTACTTCCAATTCAAGGTGCTCTATTGACCTATGCAGAGATTATCCTTCCAGGTCAAAGCAGGAATCACTAGAATGTGATCAGGACTCAAGTAATTCAGAGAAAGTACTTCAATTGGATTCAAATCAATCAATCATTCAAGGCAAGGGGTTCATACAACTCAACGTAACATACAATCTAGAGTTCTTACATACCCAAGTGATAGAGGGGGATTACTCCATAGAGAGAGGGTGGAAAGCTAAGACGGATGTGGAAATCATCGTGTCGAAGGAAGAAATCGGCACCGGGTCATCAATCATCTCTCCTTGAGGCTTGAATCGAGCTCCAATGGTGTAGAACTTGATCGAGGGCGCTCAAGGATCACTCTTCGTCACTTTCTCTCTCTACGTCACTTTCTCTCTCTAACCTCTATTTTCTTGCTCTAGAACTTCAATCCCCTCCAAAAAAATTGAAATTCGCAGCTAAGAGCTGCAGCTCGCGATACCCGGCTCAAATACCCGGTCAAGTGTTAATGGGGGCTGACAGGGTATTTCGAAACACATCTCAGGGACTCAAGGGAAAATACCAGATCCAGGGCTAAAATACCTGATCAAGTATTTATGCTCCTCGGTCGGGCTCCATTGTCTTTCTTCTGGCTCTTTCGGTTGAATACCCGCTCGCCCAACTGATTATACCCGGTCGGGTATTTGAGTGTCCTGGCCGAGTATTTTGGCCTCCAGCTCCTCTAGGCGCCGACTCTCCATTTTCGACCCAAAACTCGCTTCCAAGCCTCCATGTCCACGCCAAGACCTGAAATATGAAATAAACGCACAACCTAGCGTGAAATCAACTTAAAACACGAGAATCGACTCTCAAACACTTCAATAATAGTAGCCAAAACATGTGCATATAACGTTCTATCATATGGTTATTTCGCTTATAATGAAATGACAAAAGTTTTTATCCGACATACATAAAAAAAAAATTTACTACTGGATTGTTAATGCAAACATGAGCGGCTATTATACAGAACATAGATGTTACCGTTTGTGATAAGAAAATGATATAAAATTTACTTTTCAACAAACAAGGACTTGGTTTCATATTCGAATTTATTAAGTAGTATAGTATCTAATAAAAAAGTAAAACATATATCATCTTTAAAAAAAATCATATTTAAGTTTTGTTTATAGTAATAGCTAATTGTGGTATATGAATATGATGGATAATTGGATATGGTCATATGGTGTGCTAACCCAACCACTAACGGGGCATCAGCATTTGTTAGTTTGGGTTTGGAAGAACTAGTAAGCCAGACTGTGGATGCAGTGTACATTGGGCCCTGACATCTTTGAGGCCCAATTGAAACTCAAGTCGAGCAGTATTAGGCCCCAACATGTGGATTGGTGGTTGCTTTTCAGCTATCCCTGGCCTGCTCATGAGAATATAAGTCGCATTGTGATTAGTCATTTATCGCTTTGAACGATCATTTATGACAAGTGGTTAGCAATTATTGTCGGAGGTGTATATTGTTGGGAATTCGGTTGGGGTTAAATTGCGCATCGAAAATGCGTTGCTTGTGGTTAACTGCAAACGGTGTTTAAATGGTCAAGGGTTTTCATATTGGTTGTTTTGATGTTTGTGCTTTAACAACAAACTAAAATGACTAAGGGAGAGACATATATATTATATACTAGCCCAACTTCGCCACCTTTTTTCCACCGCTTTGCTATATGTTATCTACTTATCCATCTCCCCTCCCTCATTCGTCTTCGTAGTCCTACCATCTGCATTAGATCTAGAGCTGTAAATTTGGTTTTGTTTGGTTAATCAAATCATTAAATATGAAAAACCATAAACCGTAAATCAAATCCACAAAATTCATTGTTTGCTTCATGGATTTGGTAATGTATTTGATGATGAGGCCGTCAAAGTTCATATATATATATGGTGGCGTCTTTGGCGCACTCAATATTTTGGCTGCATTCAATGCACTCGCCTTGATAATCGTATTCTAAGCAGGCGATTCATGTGAAAACAATATCAACAATCACTTGTGGTATGATGGACAAGAAGCACATGAATTTTTATAAAAATCATTAAAGATTTACTTTAATTTGAGTTATTTAGAGTTTATGAATTTAGGGTTATGGTTTAGGTTTATAATTTGGGGGTTTGAGCTAGGATTAAAAATTGAATGTTAAGGGGTTAGGGTAATGGATTGATTAGTTGTGATTCTATGTTATATCATCCTATTATACTAACACTTCCAATTAAAGTTCAAAATTCGATTTATTATTGTCACTTTTCAAGTTGAATGCACAAAAAAAAAAAAAAAAGTGCAACACATGATTAATACCTAAATTAAATTCAACACGAATTCATTACCAACCATAAATAAGATTATCATTGACTCAACCCATAAATAAAGAAGAAGGCAACTTTCTCGTTGTTGGAATCGACTTGGTTAGAGTTCCTCGAGTTAAGAATCAACAGCCACAGAGGAGTTACTTAGGTTTCCGCCTTTGCCAAAGATAGTCGGCTTCAGAGCCACGAGAAGAAGAGGGGTGATCGGGCGAGAGCGTTTCGTTCGAAAGGGGGCTAGGGCTTTCGAAAGGGGTCGGGGGCTTCAGAGCAACGAGAAGAAGAGAGGTAAGCGAACGAGAGCATTTTGTTCGAAAGGGGTCTAGAGCGTTTCGTTCAGATTATTGGTTTCTATTGATTTTTTGGTTTTAACCAAACCAAAACCATTAAGTTGCTAATTAGTTTAAAACCAAAAAAATTGAAACCGTTAGTTTTCCGATTGGTTTGGTTTCGGTTAAAACCGAAAAACCAAAACCAAATTGACAGCCCTACGCCATCCATGGTTCATATGCACTTGCTTTTTTTCATCGAGTCGTAGTTCAAAAGGACTAAAACCGTTAGTTCGGTTTGTTTTACGGTTGACCACAAATTAAACTTTGCAGTTTATGATTAACCGCATGTTACTCGATTGTGATTTCACATTCCATCTTACTCCAAAACTTTACTTTGTGTGACTAAGGGGAACTGAACCAAACCCTAACCATAATGGTGAATACATGATAAAACAAACCTTACGACAAAAATGTACAAGGGCCAACATCAAATTGAACTTTTGCAAAACAATTTACAACTTCTATAATTCATACCAAATGCACCTTAAAAGCATCATTTACATTGTTATTTAATAATCTGATTTGTCTTATCCGATTTGCCCTCTAGCCGCCCTACCTGCCCCACGGCGGCGGCAGCCTCTTTCCCTGGCGCTGTATTCTCCAAAACAGGGCGGCGAGTGGGAACCACAAGACCGGCCGCAAATCTACCCCGACCGTCGTGGACGTACGCCACCCGGAAAACATCGTACTTGATATCTAGATCTAGGTGGTCGAGGTACGGCAAGGCGGCGGAGCGGCAGTCGGAGTCGAGAACCCACGAGTAGCAGTGCCGCAACGATTTCCACACATAGAAACACGCCAGCCGCGGCAGCGCTGGGCAGCCGAGGCACACGCCGGAAACGGCCCCTTCCATCTTCCGAAACCCGGATTTAAACAGCGCCAGGTTTGCATACGACACTTCCTCGTAACAATTCTGCCCCGCGGCCGCCGCCCGCCCGGGTCTGGCGATGACCACGCTCTTGGAGACGGCATCTCCGGTGGAGAATCTGGCGGCGGGCGAGCCGTCTTTGGTTTCCCCGGCGTAGGCGTCGTAGAAGCCGTGCTCGATCAGGACCGCCTTCCCCGGCAGAATCTCCGCCAGCAGGGTCACGAGGGCGGCGGTGAGGAGGTCTCTGTTTTGGGCGGATTCTTTAGTCCAGGCTCCGTACCATAAGATCTGAACAACCATAAGGAGGATATGTGATTGAGAAAAAAACCCATGAAAGCTAATTTGGAACAATTGAGGGGTTAATTCGAATTTAATTACCATGTTGCCATCGATGCTCTTGAGTATGGAACTGGCGACGCAGCCGAGATCCCGCGTGGCGGAGGAGAAGTAATGGACATGGGCCAGCATCCTCGACCCAAACCAAGTGACAACGTGCCCAACAAGCTTAGAGCTGCGGCCCACTCGCGTTGTTTATTTCCTTGTCCATGTACAATTACCCTAGATGTAAGTAGAACAGGGTATAAGAATGGTGTACGGCCGCCGGCCATAAACACAATAATCAATAATAAGATTTCAGCCTGGAGAGCAAGAGCTCTCCCGTGGACTAGTCCCGTAAATTGGGGATATCACGTAAATCACTGTGTCGTGTTATCGTTTTATCATATTTCTCATGGTATCATAGCTGTGATCGCGATCTAGATCATAACAGTTTCAATGGCAGGCGAAGATTCCAGCATCGAGACGTCGCCCATGTCAAAGTCACCTGGTCCTGGCTCGGCAGACAGAGAGGTTGATCTGCACAGCCCCTATTTCATTCATCAATCTGATAGTACAGGCCATCTTCATGTAAGCAGCCTGTTAACTCCGTCCAACTATAGTGAATGGATTCTTGAGATGCAAGATGCGTTGGTCACCAAAAATAAGCTGGGATTTGTGGATGGCACAATGCCTTGTCCCGAAGGTAACACCCCTCTGTCCCGAGCTTGGGCGCGCTGCGATGCCCTAGTTAAGGGATGGTTGCGGACAGCCATGGATCCCGAACTCCGTAGCAGCGTCATGCACGCGAAATCAGTGGAGGAGATATGGCAGGACCTCCGCGACCGCTTCAGCAAAGGAAATCTGACGAGGGCATACGAACTTCGTCGGCACATCAGTCTACTCCAACAAGAGAAACAGTCCGTCTCTGGGTTCTACACCAATCTGCGGAAGATATGGGAGGAAACTCAGTCCATCTTGCCGCCGCCAATCTGTATTTGCGGCCGCAGATGTCGCGACCAGAATGAAAGCTTGAGGCTGCTCGACTTCCTCTTGGGTCTCGATGAATCATTTGCCACCGTTCGCAGCCAAATTCTTGCCATGGCCAGCCCGCCATCGCTCCCTGAGGCGTTTTGGATCGTCTACAATGACGAACAACAACGAACGCTGACGCAGAACCGTAAACCTGTGCCTGAGGCCACCGCTTTTGCTACTCGAGGAGAGGCAGATAAGTCCACCCAAGGCGGCCGCAATTCTCGTGACCGCGGGTCTGGGGATCGTGATCGTGGAACAAATACACGCGAGAAGCTCCAATGCACGCATTGTCTCAAAGTCGGCCATCTCAAGGAATCGTGCTATGAACTGATTGGTTGGCCGCCGGGGGATCGTGACAAGCAGTCGGACCGACCAGACCGACGGCGTAACAAAGACACGGGACGCGACAGTGGCGCCCCTCGCTCTCGAGGTCATGATCCGCGAGCTTCCCTGGCTGAAGTGGAGACGAGTCCTGTTCCAGGATTCTCGGTGTAGCAGCTGGAACTTTTAAAGCAATATTTTGGGAGCGCTGATCCCTCCAGCCACATGGCGGGTACGTACACTTTTCTTAATCAAACTGAATGGTTAATAGACTCTGGTTGTAACGAGCACATAACCATGGATGAATCTCTTTTGTTTTCTCGTGAATCGAGTGTTCCTAGTCAGCCCGTTCGTATACCTAATGGGGCTAGCATCCCAGTTCGACGTGTAGGATCTGTTCGCCTGGATGATGGGATGGTTCTTAATCGGGTCTTGTGTGTCCCGGAGTTTCGCTGCAACCTATTGTCAGTAAGCAGGTTATGCCAGGAACATCGGGTTGCCTTAATATTTCTTGGTGATTTTTGCGTCATACAGGACTTACACTCCAGGAACGTGATTGGGAAGGGGGAGATTCGTGATGGCCTCTACTTCCTACGCTTATTTGGATGTCAACAAGTTAAAGCGCATGCAGTCGCTAAGGAAACACACCTTCCTCGCGTTCCTTGGCACGCTCGTTTGGGACATCCCTCATCTTCAGTAATGGTTCAACTTCAGCATGTTATTCCTGATTTTAAGACATTGAATACTGATCTATGTCATTCTTGTTCTCGTGCTAAACAAGTTCGGACACCATTTCCTGTTAGTGGGATTCGTACTTCCTCCTGTTTTGAGATGTTGCACCTGGATATTTGGGGTGGTTACAGCACACCATCGCTTAGTGATGCATATTATTTTTTGACCATTGTTGACGATTTTAGTCGTGGAGTATGGGTTTATCTGCTTCGATTTAAATCAGAGGTTGGTCGATATCTACGTATGTTCTGTGCTCTTGTTAGTACTCAATTTGGTAAACAGGTCCGACGGATTCAGACGGATAATGGTCCGGAGTTCAACACCACTTCACTCCGTGCGTTCTATGAACTGAATGGGATTCTTCTTCAGACATCTTGCACCGATACACCGCAGCAGAATGGGGTAGTGGAGAGGAAACATCGTCATCTTCTTGAGACGGCACGCGCACTTCGTTTTCAGGCGTCGCTACCTATTCGATTCTGGGGTGAGTGTGTTCTCACCGCCGCCTACTTGATCAATCGCTTCCCCACTACCGCCACAGGCCGGACCCCTTATGAAGTTTTAATTGGGAAGCAGGCTAGTTACACTCATCTGCGCGTTTTTGGTTGTTTAGTTTACTGCAAAGATACACGTGGGCACTTGGGTAAATTCGATGACCGAGGCCGCGCCTGTATCTTTCTTGGTTACGCGGCCAGTCAAAAGGGTTATCGTGCCTATGACATGGCTGCTCGGCGGATCATCACTAGCCGTGATGTTGTTTTCCATGAAAATGTCTTTCCCTTTCAATCGGGCACACCACAACAGCTGCATTGGATTCCTGGGGACATTTTACAACAGGCTGAGGAGGATTTGAGTGACGAGTCCATCCCGGCCGCGCCAATACCTCCACCCGGGCTCCCTGCATCTGCTGCCCGTGCTCCTAGGCCTGCGTCTTCGCCCCCCAGCCTGGCCCGTGACCTTGGTTCGCCACAAATCCGGCCCATCACTCCAGTTCCCACCGATGGGCCCGCACTCTCCTCCAGCCTAGTCACTCCAGCGCCTTCCTCGGCCCATCCATCTCCCTCTCCGGTTCGGCCCAGTCCCGCTATCCAACCAGAGCCCGATGGTTCTGGATCTTTGTCTGCTGGCCACCAGCCTTCCCCGATTGCTGCTGATCCCCCTCCGCTGCGACGCAGTGATCGGACCCGCATCCCCCCCCCAAGAAACTCTACATTTACTACACAGGAAATGCTTCTAACCATGCTCAGTATCCTTTGTCGAATCACTTGAGCTATGATAAATTTTCGGCTAATTATTGCGCTTTCCTTGCAGCTGCCGCCCATAATCTGGAACCTCACAGTTTTCATGAGGCAATCAAGGACGAGCAGTGGCGCAAGGCAATGATTGCTGAAGTACATGCCCTTGAATAAAATGGCACATGGAGTCTTGTGGTTTTGCCCCCTGGCAAACGCGTTATCGGGTCGAAATGGGTCTATAAAATAAAATTTCTTCCCGACGGTACTATCGAGCGTTTTAAAGCACGTCTCGTTGCAAAGGGCTACACGCAAGTTGAGGGTGTAGACTTTCATGATACCTTTGCCCTGGTCGCTAAACTCGTCACTGTCCGCTGCCTACTTGCCGTTGCAGTCAGTAAAGGTTGGCATATCCATCAGTTGGATGTCAACAATGCCTTCCTCCATGGTGATTTGGAGGAGGAAGTCTATATGCGTATTCACTAAGGATTTGCTGCACATGGGGATACCCGCGTCTGTAAACTTCACAAGTCCTTGTATGATCTTCGTCAGGCTTCGCGACAGTGGTACCAGAAGTTCACCACTGCCCTCTGTGAGTTGGGTTTTACGCCATCACCTGCTGACCACTCCTTGTTTATCTTTCGCCGGGGGAGCATCCATGTGGTGGCTCTCATTTACGTGGATGATGTGGTTCTTGCTGGCACTTGTCTCGATTTTATATCTCGGGTCAAGAGTTTTCTTCATTCACGGTTCAGCATCAAGGACCTCGGCCTTTTGCGCTACTTCCTTGGTCTTGAGGTGGCGCGCTCCCCAGAAGGGATGGTTCTTAGTCAAAGAAAATATATGTTGGACATTCTGCAGGATTCCGGTGTTTTGGGAAGTCGTCCTAGTGCTTTTCCAGTTGAACAAAATCACCATCTCACCCGACCTGCACCTGCTGATCATCCTGATCCCGCAGCCTATCGCCGGTTGGTAGGGCGGTTACTCTATTTGACTGTCACTCGACCGGATATCACTTATGGGGTTAATATACTCAGTCAGTTTGTTAATGCTCCTTCTCGTGCTCACATGGATGCGGCCAACCGCATCCTTCGCTACCTTAAGGAGGCGCCAGGTCAGGGTATCTTTTTCTCTGCGACCAGTTCTCTTGATCTCGTCGCCTATTGTGACGGCGACTAGAGGGGTTGTCAGTCCACTCGGCGTTCCACTACTGGGTATGTTGTCACCCTTGGTGGTGCCCCGATCTCATGGCGCACCAAGAAACAGCACGTGGTTGCTCGCTCTTCTGCCGAGGCGGAATATCGGGCCATGGCTAGTAAAGTTAGTGAGGTTCTCTGGTTACGTTGGCTCTTACGTGAGCTTGGAGTTTCGCAGCATGGTGCCACTCGTCTTCATTGTGACAATCAAGCTGCCCTCCACATTGCAGCTAACCCCGTTTTTCATGAGCGCACCAAGCATGTTGAGATGGACTGCTATTTCGTTCGTGAACGAGTCCAATCCGGTGACATTGCTCCATTGAAGATTCATACTGATCTCCAGTTAGCTGATATGTTCACCAAGGGTCTTGGTGCGGAGCGTTTTTGGTTTTTACTGTCCAAGCTGCGCGTTCGTGATCTCCACGCCGCAGCTTGCGGTGGAGTAATGGACATGGGCCAGCATCCTCGACCCAAACCAAGTGACAACGTGCCCAACAAGCTTAGAGCTGCGGCCCACTCGTGTTGTTTATTTCCTTGTCCATGTACAATTACCCTAGATGCAAGTAGAACAGGGTATAAGAATGGTGTACGGCCGCTGGCCATAAACACAATAATCAATAATAAGATTTCAGCCTGGAGAGCAAGAGCTCTTCCGTGGACTAGTCCCGTAAATCGGGGATACCACGTAAATCACTGTGTCGTGTTATCGTTTTATCATATTTCTCAAGAAGTGCTTGAGATGCTCCATCGCTTCATCGACGATCACCACCGTGGGTCTGAGCACGATGAAGGTTATGTCAAGAGTCTGGTTGTTCAATGGAACGAAGCACGTCATGATTGTAATCATCTTTTAGGGCTGTCATTTCGGTTGCCGGTTAGTGGCTAACCGGCCGGTCTAACCGTTAACCGCCGGTTAGCGGCTAACTGGAAACCGAAAATAACAGGGGGCGGTCGGTTGGTGGAGTCTGTCTGTGGTTAGGCGGTTAGCCGAGTAACCGATATTGGTTAACCGGCTAACCGACGCTAAACGACCGACAATACGACCCCGTTTTGGCCTAGCTGAAACGACCCAACCCATCCCCAACCCTAGCATCCTCCCTCAGACCTTCTCGTCTCTTTGGCCTCCATCCTGCCTCAGACCCTCGTCTAAAAAACGCACAGTGGCCAGCCACTCCCACAGCACAGCCGGCGACGACCCAGCCTCCCTCCAATTGCCTCGCCGGTCGCCGCCTCCCTCCAATCGCCTTGCCGGTCACGGCTCCCTCCAATCGCCCCGCCGCCTTGCTCCAATCGCCCCTCCACTTGCCGCGCCTCCCACCTTCACCCGCCGCGCCGCAACCCTTCTCCAGTCCTCCATCACCGCCAGTCCGCCATCGCCGCGCCGCCCGGGCAACAACATCAGTCAACACCCGCAGCGCAGCAACCCTCCTCCAGTCCTCCTTCACTGCCAGACAACAGTCCGCCATCGCCGCGCCTCCAGTCCTCCATCTCCTTGCTTTGAATACTCGATAACAAGAAGAGATAATGTAAGAACAATAATTTTTTCCCCAGGTTTCGAAAACAGCGGGGGGGGGGGGGGGGGGATTAGTGGTTTTAGTCCATGTCCTTGCCTGGATTGCCAAATTGAGCCACCATTTGTTGAAGATGGGGGGTTTTATGATAAGGGTTCAGTTTTTCTTTTCCTTCTGGGTTGGGAATTGCCGAATTGGGATAATGAAGGGGAGGGGAAAACAGAGGAAGGAAGAAACAGGGGATATGCAGAGATTGGGCAGGTTTAATGAAAGATGGGGGAAAGAGGATGGAATGAAATCAAAAGGGCTTTTTCTTGATTTCTTTTGCTTTTTATTTTGGGGGGTTTGGAAGAAGAATGGAAGGAGAGGGAAAAGAGAAGAAGGAAACAGAGGGAGCTCACAGTTCAGGCCCCTGCCCCATTCATTGTCAGCTAGCTTCATTATAATATGATGATCTATCTGTGTTTTCTTTCTCTCTTTTGTTTGTTAGTCTCAGCTCTTTGGTTGGTTGAAATTAGTTAATGCCCATAACTTCTTGAACAATATTATGTAAGTTAATTAAAAATGTAAAATGATGATGAATGATGATTTTGATTGATGAATGATGATGATTGATGATTTTGATGATGCTTGTTAGTTGTTACTTGTTAGAATTTGTGAATTTAGTTTTCACTTTTAAATTTGTGTAAATGTTGATGTAGGGCGAGACCTCCGGCTCCACGTGGTGGACGTGGCGGACGAGGTGCACCATCCGCTAAGACTGCTTCTCGTGGTGGGAGAGCTCCGGCTCCTCGAGGTCGTGGTGGTGCGGGTGCCTCAGTCCCTCCTATTCAGAATTGGGGTCGTGGCGGACGTACAGGGAGTCGGCTTGTTCAGTCTGCTGAACCATCAGTGTCGGCATCAATTGCATCGAATCCCGCCCATGCCGGTAGTGGAAGTACACCTAATGCTGAGGCTCCTTCAGTAGAAACGGTTAATCCGGCTTCAAATAAAGCTAAAGACGATCCCTTCAATCTAGAGAGATGGTTGGAGACAAAGGGTACATCTGATTGCTGGAAGGACTTTACGAAGGTGGCGGTGGATGAGTATCCGATGGGAGAGTGCAAGCATTGTCATACTAAGATCAAAGCACATCCATCCAAGAATGGCACTTCTGCAATGAATAACCATCGGAAATCATGTTTGGTTAAGGTTGCAGCATCCAAGGATCAGACTGTTCTGAACTTGCAGGCCGCAGATGGTAGTGGAAGTCAAATAAGTGCTTTATGGAAGTTTGATCAAGCAAAAGCAAGATATTCCTTAGCCATGATGATTATTATGGATGAGTTGTCTTTTCGCTTTGTGGAAAGAGACGGATTTAAGGAGTTTATGCATACGGTTCAACCACTGTTTAAGAGACCTGGGAGGAGAGGTATAAAAGATGATTGCTTTCATATATTCTTGGAGAAAAAGATGAATTTGATAGAGTTTTTTTGAATCAAAGAGCAAAGGCAGAGTTTCAATCACCACAGATACGTGGACTTCTGACAACAACAAAAATTACATGTGTGTGACTGCTCACTCTGTTGGACATGATTGGAAGTTGCAGAAGAAGGTGATCTCCTTTGTTCCCATCAAAAGTCATACATGAAATGATATTGCAGAGAAGCTTGCAGAAATTCTTGAAGAATGGAAGGAGAAGAATTTGTTCTGCATGACCATGGACAATGCATCTACAAATGATATTGTGAGTGATTGCATGAGAAGGAAATTAAAGGAGTGGGGGTGTGATTTGATGGATGGGAAGTATCTGCAGTTTCGATGTGTCGCACACATCATTAATCTGGTGGTGCAGGATGGATTGAAAGTAATCGGAGGAGCTGTGGATAGAATTCGGGACTGTGTGAAGTGGGTGAGGTCATCGCCAGCTAGGTTGGCAAGGTTCAAGACTGCTATGCAATTTCTGGATTTGGATTCTACCAAATTGGTGTGTTTGGATGTACCGACCAGGTGGAACTCCACCTATATGATGTTAGAAGCAGCAGAAAGGTTTGGTGGAGTGTTTACCACTTTGTATACAAGTATACAAGATCATTCCTTCAGGGATTATATTGAAGCAAGAGGTGGTCTTCCAACTGAACATGATTGGAGTCTGATTACAAAGCTGATGAAGTATCTCAAAGTCTTTAATGACTTTACCCTCCTAGTCTCGGGTAAGTGAAATTTTTGCTCACTTTGTTTATTTTAATTTGAACATTTGAAAATTTTGGTTTGTTTAAGTCTAATTTCCTGTATTCTATTCTCATTTGTACAGGAACTAAATATGTGACTACCCATCTTTTCTTCAAGAAACTTGTTCCAATTTATGACATCATTCAGGAATTGAAGAATGATTCGCGTGAAGAGCTCAAAAAGATGGCAGAAAAGGTTGAAGAAAAGGTACAAAAGTATTGGTTTGACACACCTGTCATGAATGAGGAGAATCCTCGGGTGAATCATTTAATTTATATAGCATGTGTGCTTGATCCTAGAAGTAAACTTGATCTTGTGTCTGAAGTGTTGGTAATGATTTATGGAAGTATAAAAGGAGGGGAAATTCAGGCTACTATTAAAAGAGAGATGCGTCAGATGTTTGAGATTTATAAGAGGAAGTATGGATCAGAGTTTGCATCTCAGTCTACCACTGAAGATAACATTGCTGATGATAGTTCTGTTGATGGTGCTGGTGATCGGATTAAGATATTGGAGGAGAGGCTTAGAAAGAGAAAAAGGGAAGCACTTCTGCTGGAAACAGGAGGCAGCTCTGCTGAGCTTGACATCTATTTGAAATGTCAAACTGATGGCATCAATGAAGAGAGTGATGATGCAAAGTTTGACATATTGGAATGGTGGTCTCGACACTCTGGAATATATCCGATTGTTGCTGAGATGGCTAAGGATGTCCTAGCTGTTCCTATCTCTTCTGTTGCCTCAGAGGCAACATTCAGTTGTGGCGGGCAGATTCTCAGTCCATTCAGGTCCTCTTTGAGCGACCTAATGGTGGAGGCATTGATTTGTGCTAAGAATTAGATAAGGTATCCCGGATCCAGGGAGATTGACGATAAGGAAGATGATGAAGAGAATTTGACTTTGGAAAGTAGTGAGTTCTCAAACTCTCTTATTGTTCAGTTTTTTTGTCTTCTTTTCACCTAATTCAATGTATGAATGTACTAACACTTTGTTTTCCTTTTTTTTCTTACTCAGTTAATGTCACTTTCCAAACTAGATTGGAAAGTGCAACGAATACTGGCAATGTTGGCAATGCAGATGCAAGCCTCAACATTCTAGTGGAGAATGAGCAGGAGGGTGAAGAAGATGTACCGGAGGAAGAGTATGAGAAAGATGGATATGATGATTATGGTCATGACTTGTTTCCCCTATTGAACGAACAAGGTTATGCAGATGTTTGTTCTTCTAAGGCTGGTGATAAGTGATGATAGATTATGATGTGTTGTTGGTTTGTTGTTATCTAGAGGATTTATTGTGATTTGTGGAGTTTATGTTGTTGAATTAATGAATGTGAGACATTAAGTTGCTAATTTAGATGTATTTTCGATGCAAAAGGAATTGAAATGTAGGTTTGAGATTTTAGTTTTAGGCGATTTTAGATTTTTTTCCCTTGCTGTCAGGTCGGTTTTGGCGGTTAACATTTGGGTCTTGGCGGTTACCGGTCGGGTTTTTTCGGTTGCCGGTCGGTTAGGTAGTTAAACTGAATCGCCCATCAATTTTTTGGTTGCCCCGGTTAAACCGCACCTGAACCGAAAACCGCCCGATCGGTTTGTGGCTAACCGAGGCTCTAGGGACGGTCGGTTGTTGGTGGCCACTGGTCAGGTCTTGGTTAATCCGAAACCGACCGGTTGCCAGCCCTAGCGTCTTTGGTGCACTCACTATTTTGGGTGCATTCAATGCACTCGCCTTCATAATCATATTCTAAGCAGGCGATTCATGTGAAAACAATGTCAGCAATCACTTGTGGTATGATGGACAAGAAGCACATGAATTTTTATAAAAATCATTAAAGATTTACTTTAATTTGAGTTATTTAGGGGTCGTTTGGAAGTTGCGATTGTTTTGTTGAGATTGTCATTATGCATATATTGTTAACAATGCATCGTTTTTTTGTTTTTTTTAGCAGAAACAATACATGGATTGTTTCTGTGATGTGACAGAAACTATCACTCATTTTGAGTGATTGTTATATCTCAACTTTTAGTTATGATTGTTGAGATAGTTGAGTTGAGATTGTTTTGTCTCAGCTTTTAGCTGATGCGACATACACAATCACACATACCAAACGTTGTATTCTACAATGCATCAAATTCGACAATACATGTATAATATTATACATGCATTCTCAACAATACATATATTTAACAATCGCAACTTCCAAACGACCCCTTAGAGTTTATGAATTTAGGGTTATGGTTTAGGTTTATAATTTGGGGGTTTGAGCTGGGATTAAAAATTGAATGTTAAGGGGTTAGGGTAATGGATTGATTAGTTGTGATTCTATGTTATATCATCATATTATACTAATACTTCCAATTAAAGTTCAAAATTCGATGTATTATTGTCACTTTTCAAGTTGAATGCACCAAAAAAAATTAAGTGCAACAAATGATTAATAACTAAATTAAATTCAACACGACTTCATTACCAACCATAAATAAGATTATCATTGAATCAACCCATAAATAAAGAAGAGGGCAACTTTCCCGTTGTTGGAATTGACTTGGCTAGAGTTCCTCGAGTTAAGAATCAACAGCCACAGAGGAGAAACTTAGGTCTCCGCCTTTGCCAAAGATAGTCGGCTTCAGAGCCATGAGAAGTAGAGGGGTGATCGGGCGAGAGCGTTTCGTTCGAAAGGGGGATAGGGCTTTCGAAAGGGGTCGGGGGCTTCAGAGCAACGAGAAGAAGAGAGGTAAGCGGACGGGAGCATTTTGTTCGAAAGGGGTCTAGAGCGTTTCGTTCAGATTATTAGTTTCTATTGATTTTTTGGTTTTAACCGAACCAAAACCATTAAGTTGCTAATTGGGTTAAAACCAAAAAATTGAAACCATTAGTTTTTCGATGGCTAAATTACACGTTTGGTCACTTAAATTACATAAATCTTTCACATTTGCCACCCAAATCACTTTTCTTTCTTATTTGCCACTACCTTTACGAATCGTTTCATATTTGGTCACCGACTGTTAGTCTCCATTAACTCCGTTAACTTTTTAATGATGTGGCAAACGGAACTGCTGACTGGGTCATTAACTTAATTACATGTCAATTTTAAAAAAATTTACATTTGGGTCGATAGATGCACCCCAGATTTCATCATCTCGTCAAAGACCCAATACGCCTACAAGGTCTTCTTCCCCTGAAACAAAGTCTTGAGTCTTGACGACGAAGCCACAAGTCCGTGAATCAAGCACCAAGCTCTGAGCTCTAACCTGCTTTAACAAGGATTCCACGACGGAGGCAGTGGACTGAAGAGAAGTGGATGGGACTTGAATATCAATTGGTAGGAAGCCGAATTGTGAGCGAACCCAGGTTGCTGAGTAAAAATTTTTCTCCGTTTCGAAAACCTCGAGAATCAAAGGCGACAATGTCGTCTCATCATCATGATGTTCTTCAAGAACGCCATCATTCCCACCCTTACCTTATTCCGAAATTCCTTGTTTTGGTTTTGGATTCGTAGCGTTCTTCCCCAGCTCCTCCTCTTCTGTTGAAACCTCCGAAATCGGAACCCATGACGGCATCGTTTTTCCTGTTCGTTCGAAAAAGCCTCGTTTTGCTCCGAATCACTCTTCGCCGATTTAGTTAAATCCCCTTCTGACCTTTCGTAAGTAGATCCAGAATTCGCCGGCGCCGAGCACCCATTTTCTTCTTCCTTCCGCGTCCCTTGCTCCTCCTTATCAATTGATGGCGAAGAAGCACCAACGACCTTTCTCTTCCGACAACGATCTGACGGCGATAGCGCGAGGAGGTCTCGGGATGCATGTTTTAGAATAGGGTCTATACGGCGTCTCCTCGGCAAGCAAAATTGAGCGCCCATCTCCGCTCAGAAAGAGTAGGAACCGTTGGCAGGCTTAAATTCACTTCGAGAATTGCTTGATTCTCCGACAGCATAGTGGAATTTTGTGGGTTAGGGATTATTTTTGGAAGCCGGCGATGAAGGAAAGGAAAGGGCGAAGAGAAGGTGGACTGACCAATCTGTAAATTATTTTTTTTTAATTTTGTATTGACATGTCATTAAGTTAACGGTATAGTCAACAGTTTCGTTTGCCACATCATCAAAAAGTTAACGGAGTTAACGGAGACTAACGGTCAGTGACCAAATATGTAACGATTCGTAAAGTTAGTGGCGAGTAAGAAAGAAAAATAATTCGGGTGACAAACGTGAAATATTTATATAATTTAAGTGACCAAACGTGTAATTTAGCCGTTTTCCGATTGATTTGGTTTCGGTTAAAACCGAAAACCAAAACCAAATTGACAGTCCTAATCCCTCTATAATATATAGCCATTCTTCAGAAGATTTTGAGCATTTCAAATTCCTTGCACTCTCCTTAATTGTAGCTAGGGGTAAATTTGTAAGTTCAACTTAAAACTTAAATATCTTCTTACGAGAAAAAAATGTCATTACAAAGACTTGAACTTTAAGTCCTTCAGATTGATAGTCAATATCCTTAACCAACTAGACTACAACAATATTTATGTATTTTTTGAATTAAAGAAACAAAATACTGAAATATATCATAGGACTATCCACCTCAACAATTAATCATCGAATGAATTAATAACTGTAATTATTTACAAAGTGAATCATCATGATATACCTAGCATTATGAATCAACTAAGTGAGTTCCTCTAATCGCACAATTCTTCACCAAGAATCAAATAGTACATTTTGAGTCTATGTAGGTTACATGACTTTGTAGTTTGTAGGAATACAAGGATTGTTTACAAAAGTGCTATACAAAATTTTATTTCAAAACATAAAATTTGACATTTGTGATCTATGGTTTTGTAACGAGACATTTTTAATGTTATAAGTGAATGACCAAAAATCATCGGCTAATAATTTCTCTAATGGTTGACAATTATAAGCATAAAATTGAAAGACTAAATACCATTGACAAATGAGCCAATTATCATTGGCTAAATTTAACAAACAATGGTATGTGTATATACATTGGAAATTCTATGGTACGCTCGATGGATTGAGGGTTATTGCATCTCCTTAGTTAAATAACATTATCTAGACCATAGATTAATCACGTAACTAAACCCTATATCATAATTCTCTAAATCCTATTATAGTGCATATGGTATGTTGTATACAACTTGGCGAATCTGGATCATTGATTATGTTCTTAGTATATGTGATATTAGGGTTTAAGTTCTATAGATTTAGGGTATATGATTTAATTATTTGAAACTTAATCTCCCTTTTCAAATTCCCTACAATGCGAGGGAAATTAGGAAGGACATTTTTGTCTTCACAATCTTCTATATTTTTTATTTATTTACAGAAAAAGATAGACATATTGAGATTTGAACCATGGTCACTTCAAACAAAGTGAAGGTTTAAAACCAATCTGACTATGTAGATTTGTTGTATTTTTTTAAATTAAAAATATATACGAAGGTAAAATATGAAATCACAACTTTTCAACAGTTAGCTAGCCCAATAAATATTCCGTAAGTACTTATTTGGTGTTTTGATACTTCGATTTTGATTTTTTTTTATTTTAATTATAGTTTAGTACTTAATTTAAAATTTTATCTATCTTATAAATAGACGATAACCATAAATTTGCAACAAAATACTGTTGGTTCCAATATTTCATATCGAATTGCAAGCATAATGATTGCTAAAATTAAGCTTTCACACAACACACTGGGAGTTGGGGGGTGTGAACTTGGAGTCAAAGTTGGTATTTAGTTTGGGAAGGGAAATGGTGAGAGGAAGAAATTGTGTTTGGATTTGGTATCAGGTAAAGTTCATGCTTCGGTTTCTTTTCGTAAAATGCTTTGATTTATTTTAGTTAGAGGTGTAATATCATGGTTATGTGCGATCAAATGAACCAAAAAATGAGCTTGGGGGATGGGAATTCCAACTTAGAAGGAGTGGATTAGATTTTGATAAACTCAAGTGCATGATTAACTGAAAGAATATTTAGATTTAGACTTTTTGGTATTTAGATGTTCATAGAGAGTTTAAAACTGATTCAAGGCCATGAACTGATATTGGTTAGTTGATTGTGATTTTGAGGAAGGTGTATAAAAAGTCATGGAAGTAGTTTGCAACAAGTGAAGACAATGAAGAGGCAGTTGGTCAGGGTAGTGATTGAACCAAGGAGGGTATTGAAAGACATAGAAGCAAAATCGGAGCAGTTGAAGAGGGAGAAGTGGGAGATGATCAGGATATTAATGAAAATGGTGAGGGTATTGAAGGGCATGGAAGTGAACTGGATCAGGTGAAGGCATAGAAGGAGGAGAAGAACATATTGATGGAATTGAAGATGAGTGTTGGTTTTACGAGCTTATTAAAACTTCCTCGAGGAAGATGGGTTGGCCAAATACAAGAAAGAGGATTGAGGAGTTGGAGATCAAGCTGACAAGAAACTCAATTGAAAGAGAAATTCAGGTTCATGGAGAGAAGGTCCATCAAAGTAGCATAAATGGAGTTGCAGAAGGAGGATTAGAAATTGAATTTTGTTTTAAAACATATACGTCGAGAGATTGAAGATGGAGGGGATAAAAAGTTGGTTGTACAACGGTGAGTGGAAACTATTGGATCTTTAGGTGTTATGGTTGTTGCAACTACCACAACCTATGTTTATGTTAAAACGAGGAATCATTGATTGAATTACTAAAGTTAAGGTCGATTCACTATTTAAACTACTGGAACCTCTAGATAAGGAGTGTCTAATTTTGTGCCTCACTACTTTGATCGAGTCTATTAGTATATTGGATGTAACTCTAATTTTGTCATTTGCTCTCAAGTTTTGATGGTTTCTTTTTAGTTGAGTTGTTAGCATATGATTTACTTGAATCAACAACTCTTCATTTCTGTTTTTTAATAAATCCATTTCTTTTTTATTAGTGGCATGTTATTCATAGAGGAGAGCTTTGAACCATTTATGTAGGATTGTGAGGTTTCATTTCAGTTTCAAACTATCTATGGATCGTGTGGGAATTCCAATGAGCTTTTATATTATATATTTCTGGACAATCTATTAACCAATATCATTTTAATGGGGGCTCAATTATCATTATGAAAATGGGATTAATAATATATTTTTATATTCTTAAATAAGGAGGGTATTTCCCTAAATATTCGACCTATATATTCATTCTTTATGTAGCATCTCGATTGAATGATTTTCAATAAACTTAAACGAATTAATAGACTTAAACATAACATTAAAATATAAATATTAAAATATGAACATTCCGGCCAATAGACCGGGTTATAAGCTAGTTAGATCTATGCCTCACTCTTCCAACGTTTCGCCATCCATGTTTCATATGCACTTGCTTTTTTTCATCGTGCCGTCGTCCAAAAGGACTAAAACAGTTAGTTCGGTTTGTTTTACAGTTGACCACAAATTATACTTTACGGTTTATGATATACCGCATATTACGCGATTGTGGTTTGACATTCCATCTTACTCCAAAACTTTTATTTTGTGTGACTAACGGTAACTGAACCAAATCCTAACCATAATGGTGAATACATGATAAAACAAACCTTACGACAAAAATGAACAAGGGCCAACATGAAATTGAAGTTTTGCAAAACAATTTACAACTTCTATAATTCATATCAAATGCACCTTAAAAGCATCATTTACATTGTTATTTAATAATCTGATTTGTCTTATCCGATTTGCCCTCTAGCCGCCCTACCTGCCCCACGGCGGCGGCAGCCTCTTTCCCTGGCGCTGTATTCTCCAAAACAGGGCGGCGTGTGGGAACCACAAGACCGGCCGGAAATCTACCCCGACCGTCGTGGACGTACGCCACCCTGAAAACATCGTACTTGATATCCAGATCTAGGTGATCGAGGTACGGCAAGGCGGCGGAGCGGCAGTCGGAGTCGAGAACCCACGAGTAGCAGTGCCGCAACGATTTCCACACATAGAAACACGCCAGCCGCGGCAGCGCTGGGCAGCCGAGGCACACGCCGGAAACGGCCCCTTCCATCTTCCGAAACCCGGATTTAAACAGCGCCAGGTTTGCATACGACACCTCCTCGTAACAATTCTGCCCCGCGGCCGCCGCCCGCCCGGGTCTGGGGATGACCACGCTCATGGAGACGGCATCTCCGGTGGAGAATCTGGCGGCGGGCGAGCCGTCTTTGGTTTCCCCGGCGTAGGCGTCGTAGAAGCCGTGCTCGATCAGGACCGCCTTCCCCGGCAGAATCTCCGCCAGCAGGGTGAGGAGGGCGGCGGTGAGGAAGTCTCTGTTTTGGGCGGATTCTTTAGTCCAGGCTCCGTACCATAAGATCTGAACAACCATAAGGAGGATAGGTGATTGAGGAAAAAAACCCATGAAAGCTAATTTGGGGGGCAGTTTTGAAATCAATTGAAAGAGGATGCAATAATTATGAACAATTGAGGGGTTAATTCGAATTTAATTACCATGTTGCCATGGATGCTCTTGAGTATGGAACTGGCGACGCAGCCGAGATCCCGCGTGGCGGAGGAGAAGTGCTTGAGATGCTCCACCGCTTCGTCGACGATCACCACCGTGGGTCTGAGCACGATGAAGGTTATGTCAAGAGTCTGGTTGTTCAATGGAACGAAGCACGTCATGATTGTAATCTTCTTCTTCTTGAATTGCTGCTCTCTAGCCAGCTTTTGCAGAATTGGGTTATGTTTTGGTATTATATGGGATGGTGAGGAGGGAGAGGGAGGTTCCCAAGTGCTGGAGGAAATTTGGACGGTAGTATTTCGAGAGGGAAGATTAATGTCATGCATGGCGTGCGCCGTGGGTTTCCTATGTGGTTATAAGATAGGATTTTGAAAAACAGGGACCATTCCTCTGCCCAATTTGACTGACTCATTTGGTGTCTCGTTGCACGGCCCTCACCGGTTTCATTCAAGGAAGACGATCTACGGATGACCAGAAACTAGGGTCCTACTCTCTTGATTTGTTTCTAGACGTTTTGTGCTAACCATAAGCTAATTGCTAGGTTTCGTAACGGCGTTAGTAGAATAGTATTTACTGGTATTACTCTAGTTTAATCGATATGTATACCAACCAAAATCAACATAATAGACCGATGTTATCGCTAGAAGAAAGTTTGACATCGAATAATTTGATCGGAAAATGCTCTATATAGTATATGTAATATAACTTATACCAACTTGATTGACGAAATGGTTTTGTGATTCGACTCTTGATGGGGTTACAAAAAACCGTGATCCTAGGCTCCTAGCTACATACAAAGAAAGTTGCAATTTTGAAATTTGCTACTTAACAAGTGATAAAAGAAATTAGTCAGGTTTGAATTTGTAGGCTGAACTTTCCTTCTCTGGCAATCAATAAAATAAAATAATAGCACAGTGGTCGTCTACAAAGGTCAATGATTGCTTTCTCGACTCCCTCATTTCTCTGTTTTCGTTTACATACTAACGTCCCCTTCTACCAGCAACTTCCCCTATCATTCGGGAATTGCACGTTTGGTTTTCACAGAAAAATAAATCTGAACTGCATTTCTCAACGTCTTTCAATAATGTAACAACAAGAATGAAACACTCTAGAATCTGCTGGTCTTGGTAACACTTCACAATACTATATATGATAAGAATGTCCCGGGTAAAAGAACCTCTTGAGATCAATCCTCTTCCCGGAAAGTTCTCTTTGGTTCAAGCTCTATAAAGATCATTTCACTTCTGCTTTATTCATCCCAATCACAAATGGGATGCTAGTAGATCTAACAAAGGTATCTCTCTATCTGTGCAGACAAAATCCAGACGATACCGATCCAGCTTCAGTTTTGGATGCGTCTGGACAAGGGCTGAATTCTTGAAAGGAAAGAAAGAAGCCACCGGGGGTAGAGGTTGGTTACCTATGGTCATAGCTCTACTGGAACTCTTAAACCATCGTGTGCAAACTGTACTGGTATTCCCTCCCTGTGCGCCGCAAACATAGAAGCAAGTTTTTATTTGTTAGCATCTCATTTTGTGGTGTTATAGGGGAGAAAAAGGATGAACAAGGTTGCAGAAGAAGAAAAGGTTGTCAGTGAAAGATACCGTTTAGACCACTCTTCTAGATATTCGCCGTCCTTGTGATGATCAAGCTCGTGGGTCATTCCGATTAGGAGAGCTCTTTTAGGGCATAATCTCTTCACTGCTTCAAGTGACTGCATCAGTGAGAAAAGAGTGAGTGAGTGGTGCAACATTAAGAAAGCAATCCAAACCAAAACCCATCAATTAAGGGCTCTAAATACAAACCTCAGGGAGACAAAAGTGAGTGTTGTGAGGTCCTTTCTGCAAAGGAACAAGAATATCAGTGATGAGAATTTGTGGAAACTACCCACCAACAGAAGGAAAGCATTATCGTAGGGACATGCAATTCCTGAACATGTCTAGTCAATGCAAACAGAGAATCAAACTTGATAATCGGCCTAAAAGGATAAAGGAACATATTATAAAATCCGGTAGACTACTTCAATGTGGCCCACGGGAGCATAGGAACACTGTTAATAAAATCAAAGCCCACAATTCTCATATGCACCCTTTTTAGGAGGCATTGGATATGTGATATTCCATTCTAACTTTGACCACTTCATAATGATGTCAAATGATGGATTGTTTTGGTAACAAACCTTGTATAAAGCATCTAAGATTAGGAGATCCAGCTGACCAGCCCCAGATTTCGAAATTGCTGCAAATGAAGAGCTACTGAATTAGTGATATGCAACTACTTTCTATTCACTGCAATCTCAGAAGACGGTGAAATCTAGATCTTCTCCATCGAACAGGAACCAGACCTTATCCACTTAATGACACTTACCAAATTCAGTTTTTTCAGGAAACCGTGAAACATCAGAGATGTAAGCTACTTTGTATTTTTCACCAAACAGAAAGCCTAAGCAAACATAATCTTCTCCATGCATTACCTGCATTGAAAAACCAGACATAAGCAACTAGGACAGGAAAAGGCATCAAAGTGCTAATTCAGACAACTAGAAAAGGTTTCGAACAGATAACTGGTAATGGTGAAACTTGTAGGCCAGAAGCAATAAATGATTTCTGACAGTCTTCCTCAATTATCTGCCAGTCGAGCTGTGCTACCCGTCTTATTTCTTGGCCTTCCTTTAACTTTTTCTGTACCAGGTAAGGGAATTTCACTGCAATACTGTTTTAGACATAAAAACACAGGGACACTATTCAGTTCTTAGAAATTGTAAGACTTAAAGAAGAAGTTACTAGTAGCAATTAGCAACAAATATCATGCACATAATGCCTCAACATGAATATCAAGAGGGTGCCCAAATCAGGAGGGGACTTAGTATGTATGAGGCTTATGTGTATTTAACAAATTGTGAAGAGATCTATAGTGAAATTACAATGTGTATCAAAGAAAATTCCATTGAACAAACTTATCTCGGCATGGCATTCAGAAAGGGTATTATCATTCAAAATGCAGCTGGGAAAATCACATGGACATGATCACCACTGAACAGGGAAAATCAAAGCATTCTATTGACAACCCTGAAAATGCACATCAAGAAAACTAGCCCAGAGCGCAGCTGGAAGAGTAAACTACCATTGAGAAACCAGAACACATTTAAACAGTGCATGCATATTATCAATTGAACAGAAGAGGTACCTTTCCATAGCAGATTGAGTCAAAAAAATAGGAGTTGGGTCAATATCATTTGTGGGACTAAATGGTTGCACAGTTCGTACATCATCAAGGCCGAGAACTGCATCAGCATGTTCATGTGTCAAAATTATCTGCAATTCACATTCAAATTAGTCCTACCACTCTGAAAACCAACATAAATTAAAGACATCAAATACAGAATTCAAAACACGGATAGAGTTTTCAGGTCTGGAAATCTTCAATGTCCCTCAGTAAGAAAATCTTACAGCGACGGAGGAAAAGAAGCCGAAGATCCACCACAAGATCACCAATGTGAATATCAAACTCTGGACGACTTAAGCTGCGAAAAAAGAGAAGCAAATAGATGGACCGAGAAGAAAAGAAGAATGCTCACAGAATCCACCCTCGGAATCTTATGGAAAGTGAACCACCGGAGAACTTGCTCCCTAAACGTCTTCCCAACATCAATCAATATATAGTTGTGCTTCCCGTCACCGCCGGGACAGTAATCTATAAGCATAGACGTATTGCACCTGACAAAAAATAACACGAATCCGTTCCCGATTGATCTTCTTTCATCGCATAATAGAAGCAAACAAACAACGCAGAGTACATTCCGATTATTATCGAAGAGCATTCGCCGCAGCAGTTTTTCGAATCTCGCGACTATTTTTTTTTAAATTACTTGGAGAAGACTTGGAGTTGACGAAGGAAAGGAAAACCGTACCTGTAGTTAGGGTTTTGCTCAGGCGGAAGAGAGAGCGCCTGAGAACAAACACGGCAGGGAGGATCGGACGGCTGGATCAGGCACATTATGTTGGGGATGGCGCTGGAACATCCGGTACCGAGAAAAATGAGGGCGGATCCATTGCCGGAGGAACCGTTGAGAGCATTGCCATTGCTTTGCGAGTCCATTTTTAAGAACGGCTACGGTAATCGGCAGCTCTTCCGCAGGACGAATTATTTATATAGAATTTCCGTGCTTCTAGCTTCCGTCCCGGTAGGGGAAAATAGAAGCGTAGGATTGAGGGAAAGGGAAGGAGGCGGTGGCGCTAGTTATGGCAGCGGCGGTGGGTGATGGCGGATGTTGGATTGTTTTTCAAGTGAAAGAGAAAACCGGAAAAGAAGGGGAAGGGGAAGGGGAAAGAGAGAAGCGCACGGAAATCGTGGAGGGAATTTCTGGGGGGAAGATGATGGTGGCCTTGGAGCGGACAGGCAGGGATCGGTTTTCTGGTGGTCCGGATTCGTTAACTCGAACGGTTCGATTCAAGTACTGGTTGAACCATACCGGGTTCCCGAGCAGATCTAGTGGGCCAACCAGGCCCAAGCGCCATCCCTTCGTGGGCTGAAAGAGACAACGGAGGAGAAAATCAGCATAACACGAATCATTTTGGGAGGGTTTTACTATACATGCAGATACATTTTACTGTTACAAATCGGATGAGACTCAGGTGTGGGCGGGTGCAGCCGTGTAGGGAAGAGCTGGTTGGTTTGAAGGGGGAACGTGGTGGTTTGGTTACGTCTGGACTTCTGATTGGGGTGATTTTGGTTGCTTGCGGACCCTCTCATTACCCCCCTCCGGCATTGATCACACGACACTTCTCTCTGCTACGCCGCTTCGAACAGTGATCTAAGAGCAGTTGAGCGCCCGCTGGGAACTACGATTAATTCGCGAATCCGTTTCTCGAAAAGAGAGGAACATTTGGTACTTAGTCAGCGATGACCATCGCCAAAATCCATCCAACCCCATCTATCACATTTAGATCATTAGCGTCATCTTCGTCAGTGCATTCACCGGATCAGAGGCAACAACAATGGCCTCTAAAGCAATATCCAGGGGATCTTCTCCGACGTAGATCCAGATTTGAACTCCCTCACAATCGTAAGTAATAGAACTTTCTTTCATTCAATTTTCCCCTGTTTCTCACTTTTAGCCTCTTCTCTCTTCGTTAATTTGTCGTTCTCTCTGGTGACACAATTTTCTGTTAGTGGTTCACCTGCCACTGCCAATCAAACTCGATAGAGACTTTCTCTTTACTGCGCTCCATTTTCCCCCTTTATGCTCGATCTGAATGAGACCTTTGAGATGAAATCACCGTAACACAAGTCAGAGTTATTGAGGAAACTGTTTGCTTCTGAGAATCCCGAAGGCAAGTCGTCTCGATCTATTCTTCATGGATTTGTTTAAAGTATCTCACGTTTAGCTTCTCTCTCTCATGAGGTGGGTCAATGCGGTATCTAACAGAGCGATTTTCGCTGGTGCTTGTAGCCGTCGTGACATGCGTGAGACAGAAACCCAAATCAGCCTTGTAATGTTAGAAATCGATTTCTTTAGTGTTTCTCTATTTATTAAATAATAATAATAAGGGTTAATAGCATTTTTTGCCCCTGTACTATTGCAATGTAATAAATGTGCCCCTGTACTATAATTTTGTACAAACATGCCCCTGTACTATAAAGACGTAACAAAAATGCCATTCTATCGAAATTTATGTCTTCTCACCGTTAACTGGGTTTGGAAATGACAAAAAGACCCAGTTTAATTCTGAAATTCGACTTTAATTTTTAAGGGGTTATTACGGGGTGTATTATGAAGTGGATTAAGGATAGGAAAAAGGAGCCCGTAACCCTTCAAGTCCCGTTCCGTTTTCCCCTTCGCACCGTTCAGCAGTCGCCCGTCGTCCACCATCTCGCCCGACGCCATCTTCTCCTGGCCCGCCGTCGACCATCTCGCCCGACGCTATCTACTCCTCGAGCGCCGTTGGCGGCAGCTGGCAGCCACTACTTCTTCGGTAGTCTTCATCTTCTCAAGCGTCCACCATTTCTTCGGCTGACATCATCTTCTCCTGGGCGAAATCCAGTGCTTCTGAATGATGATTATTGGGAAGAAGATGCCATGACCTACAATTCATTTAATTAGGCGGAATCCAACTTCAAAATGAGAAACCCAAAACACCAAATTGAGGAATGCTACTGGAATGCATGCTAAAAAGGCCCGTCCCATTAATTCATAGCAACCTGAACAAACTTAAATTTAGGGTTCGAGAAATTTCAGAATAAACATAACATAGCTAGAATGGGGGAGAAAGAAGGACCTATTTGATTTCTCTTTTGTGGAATAGAGAAGGTCGAGTGCGAAGAAGCAGCAGGACGAGGAAGAAGCAGGGTTGGCTGACTCGGTCCCTGCGGAGGGAGATGGTGGTCTGACGGCGAAGGAAGAAGGTGGTCCGGCGGAGGGATTACTTGTTCCGAGAAGAACGTCCGCCGGAGGGAGAAGGATTTTTTCCTCGACATTCGCTGGAAGGAGGCTCCAACTGTGCTGTCAGTGAGAGAAGAAGAGTCGAAGGTGTTTGACAGTGGGAAAATGAAGACTTTGGTAGTAGAAAGGCACGATGAAACACAGGGTGTTCTGGTCATTTCCAAACCCAATTAACGGTGAGAAAACGGAAATTTCAACAAAAGGGCATTTTTGTTACGTCGTAATAGTACAGGGCATGTTTGTGCAAAATCATAGTACAAGGGCACGTTTGTTGTCTCGCAATAGTACAGGGGCAGAAAATGCTATTAACCCTAATTATAACTAGATAATTCTTATTATGGTTAGTAGTCTTTTAGTAGAATTAGGTTTATTAGTAGGGTTTCCCATTATTCTTTATAAATATGTACTTTGTGATTCATTAGTAATTAGTTAATAAGAATATTAAGAAAATCTCCTAATCCCTAATCTCTCCCTATCATCTCAATTCTCGATCTCTATCCCTTTAAGGCCTCGGCCGATTCTTTTCTTTCTTTCTTCCCCAAATTCCAATCTCAATCCTTAATTCTGTTCGTATAAACCCTAATCCCCAAATATCAATTTCGTTAGGAACTTTGTTTCTAACACATATCAAGGGGATCTTCTCCAACGTAGATCCATATTTGAAACTTCCCTCACAATCGTAAGTAAGTAATATAGCTTTCTTTCATTCAATTTTCCCCTATTTCCCACTTTTAGACCATCCACTATGGTTGGGTGGGAAATTTGGGTGGGTTGAGGGGGAAATTTGGGTTTGAGGGTGGGAAACCCAACAATGGGTTGGAAGGAAAAAGAGGAAAAAGTGGGAGATGTGTTTTTTGATAAATCTGATTTAGTGTTGATTTTGTCACTTTAGTTAAATAATTTGATTGTTCTTTATATATAGGTAGTAATAATTAATTAAGATGAACATTGTGATATAATTTTTTGTTTAATTTGAACATATTTTTTTAGTCATTAATTAAATATGGTCGTTTATGGCTGTTGAAAAATATAAACATTGTAAAATATGTCCGTTGGAATTCAATTATTATCGTTAGATAGCATTGAAAACGATATACGGTCTAAAAAACCCAAACTAAAACGAAAAAAGAAAAGCTAAAAGTAAAAAACAACTTTGGCACGCGGGTCCCGCCAGCCCACTCCCCCTCCTCCTTCCCCCCTCCTTTTGTCCTGTTGTGAGGAAAAACCCTCCCAAACCCACCCAAAAGTCCTTCTCCCCCCCTTTTAACCCCCCATTGTGAGCCTCCATTTGCAAAAGACCATTTTTTTGCTTCTTCCCACCTCCCATAGTATTAGTGGGTGGTCTTAGCCTCTTCTCTCTTTGTTCATTTATCGTTCTATCTAGTGACAACAATTTTTTGTCAGTGGTGCACCTGCCACTGCCAATCAAACTCGATAGAGACTTTCTCTCTGTTGCGCTCCATTTTCCCATTTATCGATCTGGGTGAGACCTTTGAGATGAAGCCACCGTAACACAAGTCAACGTTATTGAGTAATCTGTTTGCTTAGGAGAATCCTGAAGGAAAGTCGCCACGATATATTCTTTGTTAGAAACCCAATTATTGGGTTAATTCGGTATTTGGACTTGTTTGTCGTTTTATTTATGTTTGGGAAACATGGGGTATTACTTATGGGTTTTTGGGTGCATTTGCGGATTATTCGGATTAATCGGGTCAGGGGTAATAGTTGGGGTAGCTAGCGGGAATTATTCAGGTTATATATTCTGTAATTAGTGGGTGATTACTCATTAAGCAAATAATAACAGAATTTCCCTAAACCCAAAACCCCTCTCCTCTCTCCCTACACTCGGCCAAACTCTCTCTCTCTCTCTCTCTCTCTCTTTCTCTCTCTCTCTCAACTTCCCTCTTTCCTTCGTCGGCCACCCTGGCCGCCGATCCCCTTCATCCTCTCTTTCCCAATTCTCGTTCCTACCACCAATCACCCTCTTCAATTCCCCTAAATCCCTAATCTCTATCAATCCCTAATCTCTATACCCTGTCAGGAAACTGGTAGGAAAGAATCGGGTTGAAGGCGTGATTAATCACTCTCCTTAGAGTGTTATTTGCCCCACTACAAATTGCTGGTAGGCTCGAGAAAACCACCCCCAGGAGTCCCTTCAATTTTAAGTCTGGAAGCAGCAATCTTGCAGACTTCTGTGTTTATGAAATAGAGAGGAAAACGAGAAGAAGAAGTAATCTCTCATCATTAAAAGATTTATGGTAGTCATCTATTTATAGTTGTGAAAACTGGAAGTTACCTTCCGAAGAGTCACATCCCTTCATAGAAAAAGTAGTTACCTTTATGGAAGGACACTTCTTTTCACAATATTCAAACGTTAATTAATTAATAAAATTAATTAATTAATTAAATTGCCAAAAGACTCCATCTTTATAATTTACTTCTCCCATCAATGTCGTATTACAACTCTATTGACTAACTCTAACAATCCCCCACTTAGTCAACAAGAGTTGAGAATATATGCCTCGAACAAGTAACGCATACATAAAGGTATCTTTTCGATTTGAACCTTTACCTAGTGTAAGCAACTCAAAGTTGATAATGAATCAGTGACGAGCTTAAGCCTAGGAGTCACGATCCAAAGCTATAACCGGAGATGCCACACACGTACTTGTCTCTTCTCTAAACCACAACCACCAACTAGGGTAGCACTATTATGGCCATGTGCTGATCCTGTTTCATGAGCATATACAAAAGTTGACCTCTACTTTTGTTCGAGCGGCATCACTCTAAATGCTCACATAGGTGATATTCCAAATGAATTCATTAAGAGTTCTATAACTTAACCTTCTTTGGACTAATTTACTTGTACAATAAATTAGTGCCTCTGTTAGAGTAACTTCTTATTACCACATTGAACCTTTTAATTAGTGAATACCTAAAGAAAAGGTTGGGTTCCCGTTACTTCTAACTACACAAGAGGTCTCAATCCCTTCCCTTGGGATGTCTCATAGATCATGCCTTTTGGCAATCCTTTGGTAAGAGGATTTGCCACATTATTGAGCGATCTTACATACACAATAGAAATGATTACATTAGTAATCAAATATCTAACGTGTTCATGTCATAGGCTAGTAGCTCTAGACTTACCATTGTAAATCTGTTATAAGCTCTCGACAAAGTAGCCCCCACTTACCATTGCTTTTGTAGATGTCGCATATTTTGTTACATGTAGTTAGTAGAAGTTTGTTTAGTAACCCATAAATGTACTAAATCAGTTTATAAATTCGCTCTTGCAATATTTTAGAGTCGTCCCTCTTTTATCATTTATTTAATGTTTCACGTAATGAGCAATGTCTGACAGTTGAGTGATACAACATCTTGTATTGTACAAACTAAATTTATACTTCTATGTTATGGTGGATTGGATTCGTGGATTGGTTCAAAAGGATTGGTGGATCTGGATTCATGCATTCAAGTTAAATCTAAAAATTGGACCAATATGTGAACTTACAAAAATTGTAGGTACTCAAATCTCATAAAACTTAGATAAATCTAAACATTGGACCAATATGTAAACTTAAAAAATTGTAGGTACTCAAATCTCATAAAATTTAGATAACAAAACATAATTGTTCAATGATTTTACACTAAAATTAAATTTGGGTATTAAAATATAAAATATATATTATAGTGATTAAGTTGTAATTTAATAAAATTTGAGGTATCAAAATAGTATATTTTTAGGCAACAGTAACTAAACTTCAAATTTATATATAATAATGTTTGTTGCACGAAAGGGAAATCTAGAATCAATCTTTGGTGTTTTCTTTTTTGAAATGGATGTTCACTAAGATAACGACCGGGCAATGTCCAAAAGGAAATGTACAAGTGAACAATGTAACAGGATTGAAAGAACAACCCAAACAACCAGGCCGAAGACAATCCCAACAACCCAATAGGGCCCGGGCCCAAACAAGAGTGAGCCCTTCCCCAACCCTATCTACACGCGCCCCCTCTGTTTTCCTACCACCACCATGGCCGACGACCACCACTGCACCCATCCGATAGATTTGGTGTTGTTGCTGTACTTCTTTCCGCCCTCCAAGATATTGTGCACCACTGAATTAGAAATTAGAAATTAAATTGTTAAAATCAATGTTTGTAAAATAGTACTGGAAGTTATTCCGGAAAAGTTTGTAGTAGGATAGTTGTATTAAGGGCAATGTCTGTTTTTTATCCAAACCTTTTTTAGATTCTTTTATATTATCCAAACTGTTTGAGACGCGATACCCCAGTACGGCACTCACAAACCCACTCCTGTAGGGCGCCTGCCTACACACACGAACACAGAGGAGGCGCCTGGGCCCGTTAATCCTCCGACGCCCAAGTTAGTTTCTAGAGAGAGAAGTGTCTCAAAGCTAGAGTTTAGTGAGATAATCCAACCTGTGTAAATGCTACCAACTGCCCCTATTTATACTCACCAGAGTTCGAGGTTGATCTCCTCCACATCACTGTCTCCATTTAATGTCTTGTACTTTCCTGGTCAGATATCCCAACTGCCTTGTCAGGCTTCTGGCACGTGACAGGCGCCCGCAGACGATGGACCACTTGACAGCCTGGCCTCTCTTGACAGTTTGACCTCCTTTGGCTTCTAGTGTCTTGTCTTCATGCGTCCCCCACCTTGCTTGGGCCTTGCCCCCCAATTCTGTTGCTTGGAAGCCCAAACTGCCGCCCATTGGGCCTCGCTCATAATACCCCCAACAATTGCCCCCCCAGTTAGGTGCTCATAGCTTCGCTTTTGAGCGCCTAGCTGACCTAGCTGTTGCGGCCTTGCCCTTTCTCTTATCAGTGGGCGCCCAACTTCCCGAGTACGTCCGTCCTCACGGCGCCTGAACTCTTTATTGACCATCTTTTGTCGTGTTGTCCGCTTCGAAATTGGCTCGCTTGGCTTCTTTGCTTTTTATGGGTGCCTTCCGTTTTGTGCGCCCTTCCCCTGTGCTTTACGGGCGCCTTTCAGAAAGGGCGCCCCTATCCCTTATGCCCCCCTCACGGGCGGGTGTTTGATATCGGCCCCACGTTTTTCTTGTTTGAATTATGGGAACTTTTTAAATTTCAAATTTCGAATTTAGAAAATTCGAAAAGAGAAATTTAAATTTGAAAAAATTCCAAAAAAGGAAAAGGTGGGGGGAGCTCAAAAGCCCGCCCTTGACAGTGACACGTGGCGCACAACGCGAGCCTTGACTCGGGTTCCCCTTTCCTTTAAATACCCTTCCCCCTTCAGTCCTTGTCACTTTCCACAATCTCACCTCTCTCTAAGATTTCTCTCTGACTTCTCTCTAGATTCCGTCTTGACATCTCTCTAGATCCCTCTTTGCAATCGTCAGCATTCTCCTCAAGTCAGCCAAAAATGTCATCGCAAGCAGACAAAGCTGTCGGCCAGGGCGCCCAAGGTGCAGGTGAGACTAGAACGGGCGCGTCGGCAGGAGGCGCCTCGGGTGTGGGTGGTGAGGCAAGGCGTCCGTCTCAGAGTGGTAAGGAATCTTCTCGACTTACTGGTTATTTACGTTACCTTTATTCTAGCTACCTAGGGTAGGGCATCACTTACTCCGCGTCCACGATGCGCCTGGGTCGTTTGTTGGTTTAGAGAGGGCGCCTGCTTCTACGTTCGACTCCTGGCTTTATGCCTGCCAATGGATCGTACAAGATTTCGACATGGGAGAATTCGTTTCCTCCTGATCATCTCCCAGAGGAGACGGCCACGCTGCCCTTCGAAGTGGCAGGACTGCAGCACACGTCAACTGTCACCTTGGCTCGTGTTCATGAACTGGTGACCAGCCTCCAACTACCTCGTGACTGGTGGTATGCGCCGCCCTCTGCTATCTCTCGAGTGGGCGTCTGTGGGCCGAAGTGGATTGGGGTGTATCAGGAATATTTCCGCTTCGGGCTGCGATTCCCTCTCGACCATATCATGGAAGGTATTTTGACTACTTGCGGTTGTCCGCCGGGGCGCCTATCTCCCTCGGTCATCGTGATCGTGATTCTATTCAAGCTGAGGTGCCGTGAACATCCCGTTGAGCCTACCTTCAACTTATTCCGATATTTCTTTAAGATGGTGCCCCTCGACAACTGTTTATCGCTTCAAAAGAGGAAGAAGGGCCTATATCACTTTGTGGAGCGGTGCCCGAAGTTGGGGCGCAGTTGGTTCAACGGGTTCTGCTTCATGAAGGCGTGCCGGGACTCCTTCTTCAAAAGTGGAGGCGCCTTTCTGAGGGAGTGAGGGTTGGGAAACATCGAAGATTTTAACGCGCCAGTCGTGTTGTCTCCAGCGGAAAAGAACGGCGCCCGCCTGATTTGCGAGACGCGCGTGGACTTGCGCAAAACTGAGAATCGCCCCCCAATTTTGGAGGCATATTATAATGATGGTCTGTAGGCGCCTATACGCTATGTGTATCACCATGTTGTGACTTGTTTTTATTTTATTTTATTTTATTTTTAATGCTAACTATTTCGCGATGTGCAGGGTCGGACTTCAGTAGCATCGCAAAGCTGATGAAGAGTCGGCTTGCAGCCATGACTGGAGGGGCGCCCCCACCGAGTCGGCCACAGGCGCCTGCTGCGGCCTCCACCGAACCACAGGTGCCTCCTCCTGGCCCGAAGAGGAAGAAGAGGGCGGTGAAGGGGGGCACGACGAAGACCCCCAGTGTGGCGTCTTCGGCCCCGGAAGCGGAGGAAGAGGCGCCCAATGCTGAGGCGCACAATACTGAACCCGCGGAGCAGGAGGGTAACTCCGGGGAGGAAGAAGCTGAGCACCTGATTCATCGGGGGAAGCGGGCTGGTTCTCCCTTGGACAACGTCAGCAAGAGAGCTGACAAAGGTAAGGAAAAAGTGGGTGCCGACACCTCGGGCGGGGAGGGGGGAGCCTTTCAGTACCGCCTTAACGAAGAGGGGCAGTATGTGGGCCCCGATGGGCGCCCCCCAATCTTCCAGCCGCGCCGCTTGGACGTTAGGCGCATCGAATTGCCATGCTCTCCGCTGGTGGCGGTCGACCGAGGCTGTGCCATGGGGTTGGCAATCACGGCTGCCAAGATGTGGCAAGTGCCGTCAGAGATGAATGGGGATCATCTCTTTGCGGAACTGGCCAAAGTGGGCGCCAAGGTATATACCATTTTGCTTGTGTTCTCGCATTTTTGAAATTGTCTTTACACAAATGCTAACTCTCTTTATTTGGTGTATGCAGATCCTCCTTTTTGCTGAGAGAGGCGCCCAACGCCTCTTTGAAACCAAGCGAGAGGCGCTCGAAGCCTCTACTTCTGTCTCCTCTCTGAAGCATGATCTCGAAAACGCGACTGAGCGTCGCGAGCAGCTGGTGAAGGAGTGCGAGGAGTTACAGATGAATGCGGCCATGGAGGTGTCGCAGCTTCAGGGCGCTCTCGACGAAGAGCGCAATAAATCAGAAACCCTTCAGGCGGAGAAGGAGGCGTTGGCGCAGAAGGCAGGCGCCCAGGCTAGTGAGATTGATATCCTCAAGGAGGAGAAGAAGAGGTGACAGGACGCCTACAAGGACTGCAAGAAAAATATGAAGGAGGCGAGGAAAGAAATTACCAACTTGCGCCATTCTCTGGACACCTTCGAAGAGTCCGAGGCTGGGAAGAGTATGAGCGCCAACGCCTGTTTGGCCGGCCTCCAAATTTTGAAGGTTAAGTTGGAGAAGGATCACCCCGATCTTACTTGGGATTTCACTGAGATGGCCGAGTATATAATCGGGGAGATGGATACTCCACATGAAGCAGAGAAGGCGCCCGAGCCTCCTACTGTAGAGGAGCCTCCAAATGATTATGCTCCTGCCTCACCTTTCCCCAAGGCGCCTAGTGCTGGGGATGCCAACTCAGGAGCTGAGTAAAAAATGGGCGTCAACCACAGAGGATCCTTTTTTTTATGTAAACGTTTCCATTTTGTGGGCGTAATCTATATATAAATGTTCCCGTTGGTGTTGCGATCGTATTGTTTGGTTTTACTTAACGTTTTATCGCTTGACTTGGGTGTTTCCCCAGTGGCTGTCTTATATGTTGTGCGATGCGCCCACAACACATTTGGCAATTCCTCCACCCATTTGCCCTTGGCGCCCGCCAACCGGGTGTGTAACCCGTGAAGAATACTTTTGTTGGCCGCCTCCGCTTGACCATTTGCCTATGGGTACGCCACAGAAGAAAACCTCAACACGACCCCATTGTCGTCGCAGAACTCCACAAACCTCTTGCAATCGAACTGCTTTCCATGGTCTGTGACGATGGACTTAGGTAAGCCGAACCGAGTGAATATATTTTTGTTGGTGAACCTTCGTACCTGGGCTTCTGTGACCGTGGCCAAAGGTTCTACCTCAATCCATTTGGAGAAGTAGTCGACTGCCACTATCAGGTATTTCATTTGCCCAAGCGCCTTGGGAAAAGGGCCTAAAAGGTCCATGCCCCATTGGGCGAACGGCCAGGCTCCTACATTGCCTTGCATGGGCGCCGCCGGGACGTGGATATCATTTGCATGAATTTGACACTGATGGCAAACGCCCACATGTGCCTTTGCGTCCCGTCTCATTGTTGGCCAGTAATAATCTTTGCGTCCCGTCTCAAACTGCGTGCTCCCGCGTGCATGCCGCACGTTCCGCTATGCACCTCCTCGATTGCCCCCTGTTTTCCTCCTCATCCAGACACCTCAAGTATGCTCCCGCATGAGACCTCTTGTATAACTTTCCCTCAATTATGGAACACCGGGCCGCCTTTCGGCGGAGGCGCCAAGCTTCCTTCGGGTCATCGGGCACCACACCTTGGGTCAAGAACAATACAATTGGTGCCATCCATCCGGAGTTGGCGCCCACGTTCCCCGGGTCGCGACCAAATGTTCACGAGGCGCCTCTGCAGTGACTATGACTTTCCGTTCTTCCGCAAAATCCACAACGGTTGCCAGCTTGGATAAAGCGTCTGCGTGAGCATTCTCTTCACGTGGGATGTGCACAAAGAAGATTTCCCCAAACCAGGCTCCCAGTTCCCTGACTCTTTGCACGTACCCTTCCAGCGCTTCCTCTTTCACTTCAAATTTTCCGTTAAGTTGATTAACGACGAGGGCCGAGTCGGACTTGACTTGGACTTTGTGGGCGCCCAGCTCCTTAACCATGGTCATGCCGGCAATAACCGCTTCATATTCCGCAGCGTTGATTGTTTTTAAGGTGGCAAATTGCAGCGCGACCTCATGCATCGTGCCCCCGAGGCTTATCATTACGATACCTGCTCCAGCGCCCGTGCGGCTGGCCGCCCCATCAACTTGAACTTGCCAGCAATCGTCTGTCCCCTTCTCTGACTCCGCTACACCCTCTGCGATAAAGTCGGCCAAGACCTGGGCCTTGATTGCCGGACGCGGCGCATACCTGACGTCGAACTCACTTAGCTGGACTGCCCACTTGACGAGGCGCCCGGCCACGTCCATTGACCCCAATATGGATTTTAACGGGAGATTGGTGAGTACCACGATGGTGTGGGCCTGGAAGTAGGGTCTCAATTTGGTCGCGGCCATCACAACCGCTAATGCGGCCTTCTCGATGGGCGCGTACCGCCTTTTATGGGCGACCATGGTGCGACTGACATAGTATACCGGTCTGTCTTCTCCAGAATGGGTTTCTCTTGCGACGAGCACTGCACTTACTGAGATTTCTGACACAGCGATGTAAAGGTACATCGTCTCCCCCGCTTTGGGCGCCGTCATCATAGTTGGGGCGCTTAGGAGCTGCTTCAATTCTTCGAACGCCCCATCACACTCGGTGGTCCACTGGAAACACGCCGCCTTTTTAAGCGTTCGAAAGAAGAGAGCTGCTTTGTCGGCGGATCGGGGAATGAAGCGCCCCAGAGACGCTAACCTTCCCGCCAGGCCTTGTACCTCTTTGGGCGTCTTCGGGGGAGTCAACTTGAGAATGGCATCTACCTGCTTTGGGTTGGCTTTGATGCCCCTTTTGGTGATCATGAATCCCAGGAATTTCCCCGCTTCGGCGCCGAACACACACTTGAGGGGGTTGAGACGAAGCATGTGCGCCCTCATGGCCTGGAACGTCTCCCGCAAGTCTTCCAGGTGGTCTTCCCGTCTCCGGCTCTTGACTATGAGGTCGTCCACGTAGGTTTCCACATTTCGACCGATTTGCTGACGGAAGACGCTGTTGACCATTCTCTGGTAAGTGGCGCCCGCGTTCTTGAGCCCGAATGCCATGACCCGGTAGCAGAATTTTCCGAAGAACGTCATGAAAGCTGTTTTAGGCCGGTCTTCCTCCGCCATGGGGATTTGGTGGTACCCGGAGAACATGTCCACGAAGCTCAGCATTTCGTGGTATGCTGTGGAGTCCACCAATAAGTCTATCCGGGGCATCGGGTAGGCGTCCGTTGGACATGCCCTGTTGAGGCTCGTATAATCCACGCACATTCTCTAGTCTCCCGATGGCTTTGGCACAAAGACCACATTCGACAACCAAGTAACATAAGAAGTTTCCTCGACCAAGTTAGCTCCCATGAGCTTGTCCACTTCGACCCTAAGCGCCGCTTCCTTCTCCGGCGATAGGTTCCTGCGCTTTTGCTGCACGGGGCGCCTGCCTTCCTCGACCGCTAATCTGTGAACGGCCATTTCGGGTGTGACGCCCGACATTTCCAGTGCACTCCACGCGAAAAGCTCCGCAAACTCTCTCAAGAGGGCGATGAGTCGTTCCCTCATTTCAGCGGGCGCCTCTGCCGAGATTCTCACGTGTCTTTCTGGACGTCCTTCATCTAGTGCTACCAAGAGTTCTTCGTCGGCAGCCTCGGCTCGAGGGGCCTCTTCTACCACGACTTCCATCACGTTGACTCTTGCATCGACGTGCCTTCGCTTCCGTCCAGTTTCCTTTGCATAACGCGGGGCGCCTCGCCCTCGGGCCACGCCCACCCCTTGCGGGGCAATGAACTTCAAGGTTTGGTGACAAGTGGAGGCCACCCCATTGAATAAGGCTAGGAGGGGCCTTCCAAGGATCGCATTGTATGGCGATGGGCAGTCCACTATTCCGAAGTCTATGGCGCGCGTCACTCTTTGCTCCCCATCTACCAAGGTGACCGGAAGGCACACTCGCCCTATTACTCTAGAGGGCGCCCCTGAAAAACCGACTAGCACAGACTTCGATGGTCTGATCATCTTCGGTGATAGTTGCATGCGAACCACTGTATCTTTGAACAACACATCCATGGAGCTTCCCGTGTCGACAAGCATCCTTCTCACCTTGCATCCGGCTACCACTCCCTGTATCTCTAAGGCGTCCATGGACGGGAGCATGCATGCTTCTTCTGGCGCCTTGTTGAAGCTGATATCGATCGACTCCTCCACGTCTGCCGATGCCGCTCTCAGCCGGCGGTTTGCCTCTATCTTTTCCCTCAAGTCCATCGTTCCCGAAATGGCTTTGATGGTTAGACGCACGCGATCGGGCGCCTTTTCTTGATCAAGGTCATAGGGCGGGGGTGGCAGCTCCTCCCTTGTCTTAACCATGTCGGCCACGCACGCCCGGTGCACTCTTTCTTCAGGCTTCTTGACGAAGTCGTTAAGCATCCCTCTGTCGGCCAGGCCCTGTAGCTCTGTCTTCAGCTGATAACAATCGGCCGTATGGTGCCCCACTTCACGGTGGAAGTCACAATACCGATCCAGGTTCCGTTCGTTGGGTTGTCCCCTCATGGGGCCTGGCCACCTGATGTAATACCCCTTCTCCTTGACGTGCTAGAGTATGTTCTTCAGAGTGTCGTTGTATTCAGCAAAGTGTCCAGCCCCCCTTGGCGCCGGGCGCCCCACATCAACTCTCCTTGCCGGGGGATGACTTGCGGGCGTATACCCCGAACCGCTCGGGGGGTACGGCCTCCGTGTCATCTCGACTTCTTCCCCTCTTGTCTTTCGCCTGTCCGCCCTTCTGGCTGCTAACGTTTCTTCGAGCATGATCACCTTTTGCACTCTGTGATCCAAATCTTCCGTGGACACCACGTCTCTCTTTGCGAGCGACCTACACATCTCCTCGCTGGTGGTGCACTCATTCAGACACACTCCCAACACTGACGGCTGGGCGTCCTTCACTGCTAGGGTCACGGATAGCAACTTCTCGTAAAATTCTCTCAATGCCTCTCCATCCTTTTGCTTGACCTTGAACAGGGAGCCTATGGTCAAGGAGAGCCACTTCCTGCTGGCGATTTTTCCAAAAACATCGCTGCAAACTGCTCAAAGCAATCAATGCGCCCTTCGATCTGGTGATACCAGTCGAGGACCACGCCTGAGAAGGTGAACGGAAATACCTTGCACAGGGTGGAGTCTGTGCTGTTGTAGAGTTGCATTTTGGTGAAGTATCCGTTAAGGTGGTTCTCGGGATCCCCGGTCCCGTCATAGGTGGGAAGCGGGTGAATGTTGGTTTCTGCGGGCTCCGCCAGTATGCTACGTGCCAGGGGCTGCCTCACGGGGCAGTGGCGTGATAGGCGCCCCAGAATTCCTCCGTTCCACCCGCTAGTATCCGGCCCTCCATGATCACGTGGGCGCCACAAGCTCGGGCGCCTCAGACACCCCGATTCACTTTCCGTCTCCGCCATTCTTTCCCTCTTCTTCGTTGGGCTGGGGGTCATCCTTTCACTCCTTTTCAAGGCGTCCACTTCTCGCCGAAGCGCCTCGATCGCCTCGTCCCGATCCTCGATGATCCTAAACAATTCCTTTTTTCGTGACCGAGACGCCCTCAGACCCCCGAAACATGCCGTCACTTTCCTCGCCTTCATCCATCTCGGGCGTCTCCCCCCTCATCCGCTCCGATTGTTCCTCTGTAATTTCCTCTCTTTCTTCATTCATCGGCGCCTCTTCACTCATGACTCATGGTTATACCTCCCCTATCTGGCGCGCCAATTGTCTGAGACGCGATACCCCAGTACGGCACTCACAAACCCACTCCTGTAGGGCGCCTGCCTACACACACGAACACAGGGGGGCGCCTAGGCCCGTTAATCCTCCGACGCCCAAGTTAGTTTCTAGAGAGAGAAGTGTCTCAAAGCTAGAGTTTAGTGAGAGAATCCAACCTATGTAAATGCTACCAACTGCCCCTATTTATACTCACCAGAGTTCGAGGTTGATCTCCTCCACATCACTGTCTCCATTTAATGTCTTGTACTTTCCTGGTCAGATATCCCAACTGCCTTGTCAGGCTTCTGGCACGTGACAGGCGCCCGCAGACGATGGACCACTTGACAACCTGGCCTCTCTTGACAGTCTGACCTCCTTTGGCTTCTAGTCTCTTGTCTTCACGCGTCCCCCACCTTGCTTGGGCCTTGCCCCCCAATTCTGTTGCTTGGAAGCCCAAACTGCCGCCCATTGGGCCTCGCTCATAATACCCCCAACACAAACCTATCGAAATACTAAGAATTAGCCAAATGTTAACTTTCAGTTAGCGATTTTGTTAGTAATATTGTCTTGACAATATGATACTGACTTGGAAGAGGCACATGAAGGTTAACATTCCAAAATTTTCGTATTTTAACTAAGAAAAGAGTTACAAAATTATTAACGATAACGTAAAAATGACTAATATTTTGATGAATTACGAAAGATTTGGATAATTAATAGCATTTTAATAGGTTCGGATAATATAAAAGAATCCGAAAAAGATTTGGATAAAAAATAGACATTACCCTTGTATTAAAATCATAATTGAACCGTGGTTCAACCACTTCGTACCGCCAAAACCACCTATAATTTGGGATACGGTATTTCTAGTCCGACCTTCGAGTATAGTAGACTTTCTAAAACATTGGTTTGAAGTAATCAACCTTTATTCAGGAGGTACAACTTTTCATATGCCCACGACATGTCATTTTCGCAAATGTTGGTGATCCTCTCATCTTGATCGGAATATCTATCTCTTAACATAATGGTAAAAGAGATATATTATTACTTTATTAGTGCATCTATTAGCTAATAAATTAATATTTGTTAATTAATTGACAACAAAATTCACAAATGAAAACCCTTCTCATTTGTTGCTACTTTGCTGTTGATGAATCTACAAATTTTGGAACTATTGAGTATTGACTTCGAGTCAAGTGAAAATCATGTAATTTGAATATATGTATTTTTGTGTGTAATAAGTGAGGAGTTTCAAAAATAAAATGGTTTACAATCTTATTATTTTTGCAATAAAAGTGATGCATATGCACCATATCCTCTAATGAGAGTCAAAGCTGAACCCCAACCACCAATCAATACCAAAACATTGCAAGAGCTCAATGAATTTGAACGAGGAATATAAAGGAGGCATGTATAAGTTGCAATCTAAAGACTCAGTAACAATAAAATGCTAACTCTTTTCTGTAGCCCGCCATGTAAGAGTTCCCCCTTCTACAAAAAGTTAAAAACAAAATTTCCATAACCCTCCATTTGGCTAGCATTTTATAGTTTATATACGATAGCCTGTATTATTGATTGTTGATAAAGTTTGGTGCTCTGTTAATAAAAAAAGTTATAGGTGCATTGCGGTATTAATATGTACAAATTTTTATACTCTATTCTAAATTTTTATAATATTTAAATTTTTTTATATCAATAATAAAATTTGAGAAACATATAATTTAAAAATAAAAATAAAATAATAAATTATCAGTTTAATTCCTTAAAATACGTGTAATAAATATGTTATATATGTCCAACCACACGGCATACCATCTCACAATGTATTACTTTTGGTTTTAAAATTGCATGGTTTAATTAAAGTTGTAAGTTTCAATTCAAGTAGAGAAAATGTATTACGATGAAGACAATTCTATGAAGCAGAACTATTACTCAATTCAATAAGATTGTTGATAAATATGTTCATCTTAGCCATTTGCCCATTTCACTTTTTTTTTTTTTTTTTTGTCTCTGTTTGGCCATTGCTGTTATCATATTGCAACCAGCCAACGGGTCGGGGTACAATCTAGTATACAAGAAGCTGTTGCGCGGTCCCTGTTTTGTTTAACATGTTTAGTCTTGGGTGATTTTGTATGATGATTTAATCGTCCTAGGATTCCTTCATTAAATATCAGTTGGATCTTTCACTTACTCTGGGCAATTCAACGTTTCAACAGTTTAAGATAATTGAAATCCTAACTCGTGAAGATTTAATCAAACCACAATTATGGTTCTGCTTGACTTCTCATAATGTAGCTATGCTGCTTAAATGCCATCATTTCATTCTCTTTTATTTCTGGTGGCTTATTGTTGTTTAAATATTGATTGGAAATTTGGCGTAGGCTGAGGTTAGAGGGAGACCACGTGACAAGTTGTACAATATCCAGTATCAATACAGATGATTTGATCAATTCCCAATTGTTTTGTATTTTCACTTATATATATATTTTCCAAATTTTGTTTTCTTTAGTTATCAAGCTAAGTTGTACTTATTTTATCAAGCTTCTCAAATAACCTTGCTTATAATGTTTTGAAAGTATCATTGTAATTATTTTACCTTTATGATATTCACAGGCATTTGATGTGTATTTTGGAAGTCATTATGCTACTTATTTTCGTGCTTAATGTTTTCATCCCCTCATGTGTATTTTCGCAAGGTTTAGAAAACCCTATAATACCGGCTAGTCCGACCGGATACCAGACCCAAAATGATAGACAATTTTAGCAGTAGAAAACGATTCGATTATCGTTAAACTATGATTTTAGTACAAAATACCCTACCATTAAGTTTTCCGGTATAATCTCAGATACGGTTTTCAGAACCTTGGCATTTTGATGTCCAAATAAGTACGTTTTAATAATCCCATATCCTGATAGGGAGAGCAGGCAATAAGAACTAGTAATTGTATTAAACTCAAAAACATTACAATCCAAATCAATAAAAAAAATTGGCGTTTGTGCAGGAAACTAAAATTCATCTTTCAACTACAAAAATTGAGCGAACTAGTAACAGGTCTATCAATGATGCCTTATTGATGTAGCCATCACTACCATCGTCCAAACATTGGTATACTCGAATCTATTAGTTCGACAAAGCCATGTGTTCTCCGATGAGTTTTTGAGAGGGCAGATCACAAACAATAACATCGAAAGAGAAACACAGCCATTGGCAATCGTAATGCGAGAAGGAGACCGAGATATGCACACAATCCCCATATTCTGCTCATCGTAGTGGTCTACTCTCGACTTGGTCAGTATCATGATCGTCCTCAGTGTCATAATCATCTTTATCTGCATCATTCTCGTGAACGTAATGAATCAGGCCACGGCGAGAGTTTCTCTCCGCCTTTGGTACAGTTCTACTATACTCCAAACGACAATCGGCGTCCTGTAGACAATCTGTATCTCGGTGTTTGGTGAGAAGCCACCTCAGCAAGCGATCTTCCTTGTTCAGGTAATGCAGCTCCTTGTTCATGTTTGGTGTCGCCATCATCGTCATCTGCATCAGCTGGCCCTGGGGGTAGAGAAATAATATAAATTTAGCATCTGTCGAAGCCGAAAGCTGACACAAGAAAGTAAAGAAGCTTCAAGTTTCCGAGTTCCCAAACTTTGTTCACCTTATAAAATCTTCCATCAAGCTTCTTGATGCCATAACCAAGGTGGATGGTCCCAAATGATTTCATCTCCGTGATTACACCATTCCTACTGCAAATGTGTTTTCCTATTCGAGCCACCAAGTCCATGATCGGTTCTTTCTTTACATGAGGCTTGAACAAAAGCACACAGTCATAAAGCGGCATCTTTCACTCCCCTGTCGTGCCCATTCATTTCAAAAATAGATAAAGCATTGATTCAAATTAGGAACTAATAATAATACAAAGAAAAAGAATTTCAGAAGAAGACATGGCAGCCCTAGGAATTTAAATCATGCAAGCAGTATAGAACAACGTATTTGACGATCATATTCTTCTCATTTGTAGAAGTTTGCATCTCTCAACTTCCACACATTCAAGAGGATTCCTTCAATTGGAACTATATAACGTATCATGCAACTCAGAACTGATGAGTAAATAATACATTTGAGCATTCCTGATGCTCAAAATTCTGCTTATTTTTAAAGCACAATGTTAGATGAAATGTGGAAAAACTGGATATAATAAGCAAAAGTTGAACAAATCAGGGTAGCAGAAATCCTGATCTGCCAAAAGTTACACACTACTTTGCCTAGTCTTCACTTCGATTTCTTAAAATCCTAATCTTATGAGGGTTCTAAAGGATAACAAATTTCAGGGCACAATCAATCTTGCACTGTTCAATCTACCACAGTGAAGAGCTGGTTTTTGCGCGCCTAGCTAAATGTACGCAGCCGTATGAACTTACTGATTGGCAGTACTATAGCCAAACAGCTCGGCCGGCTGCGACTCAGTAGGCACCGCAGTCAGAAGAATTTGACGGTTATATTCTTCTCCTTGGTAGAATTTAGCATTTCCCAAATTCCACACATTCAAGAGGATTCCTTCCAATGTGAACTATATCAAGTATCATGATTATATCATATATTTGAGCATTCCTTATGTTCAACACTCTGCCAGCTAACGGTTAAAGCACAATGTTCAATGAAATGCCGAAAAATATATTACTGTAAACAACAAATGAACAAATTGTAGCGAAGGGTAACAAAAATCCTAATCCGCAAAAGAATTTACATTCCCCGTTGCCTATTCTTCACTCAGTCTCTGAAAATACCCTACTCGAATGACCGGGGGAAAAAATTTCAGGGCACGATCAATCTCGCACTGTTCAATCTATTACAGCGAAGAGCTGGTTTTTGCGCCCCTAACTAAATGTAAGCAGCCGTATTGAACTTACTGATTGGCAGTACTATAGCCAAACAGCTCGGCCGGCTGCGACTCAGTAAAACAGATTGGTCCAAAGAGCAAGCACGGTACAATCTCCAGCAACAGGTGAAACTGAAATGAATCGAAAAAAGAAAACACTTGAGATTCGAAAAATGAAGGATTTACCGAGATCTCTCGTCTGGATTGGTGACTCTGAAACCGAAAACCGGATCAGCGGGGACGATACTCGAATCGAAAAAGAAAAACGAAGTGACTGAGGGGATAAGGGCGAGCGTCGATCGGAGATGGCCGGGCACGAGCCAGAGGGTGGAGAGCGGAGGCGGGGAAAGGGAGTGAGCGAGGAAAGGTTAAGGCGGAAGGGGAAGATGAATTAGGTTTTCAATCCTGACTTCGGCATTGCGATTGGAAGGGTTTGGTTTGGGCTGTGCACTGAAGGGCCGTTTGTCTGCATTGGGCATTATTTACCAGCGACTGGGCCTCTATAGCTTTACCCTAATACCTTGAAGTAAGTCTGCGCAATATATAATAGCAGGAAGGAGAAACCTGTTGCTTCATTTCAAATTTCCTGCAACGAGAGTGAAAGTAGGAAGAATATTTTGGTTTTCACAATTACTTTTTTATTGGTTTAGTAGCATTTTGTACCCCTCTACTTTGATAAATTAACAAACGTACTCCTCTACTAAATTTTTGCACAAACATACCCTTTTAATATTAAATCGTAACAAGTTTACCCTTCCATCTAATTTTCTATTTTTTTTTATTGGATGGAGGCGCAAGCCAAGAACAAAGAAGAAAGGGGTTACAGGTGAAACTGGGGAGTTTGGACAACACTCCGAGGTAAAACAACACCTCTCTCGTCGTCCTGCAAAATGGACCTCAAGGGGGCCGGCGGATCAACCAGTTTATACATACCATGGGGATAGACGAGACCATGCTTCGAGAGCCAGTCCGCGACTTTATTCCCTTCACGGTAAGTATGTACTATTTTAACCAACCAGTCCTGCGAATAGATCTAATTTTCTATTAAGTGGCCGTTAAATGGACTGGAAAATTACCTAATTACTCTCATTTACTATTAAACACTCATAATTTCAGTTTAATTTTTTTATTCTGTCCAAAATCATTTAATTAAAAATTAGTTTGGCCCTATTGTAGCTTTTGCAGAAGCAGCTTCTGGCTGGAGCTTTTAGATAAGTACTTTTTAAAAATAGCAGTTGAGTGTTTGGTTGTAAAACTATTAGAAGTGCTTTTTAATATGAGAGGTTGTGTAAAATGACTATAAAGGACTTGTAATATAAAATATGAATAAAAATTCAGAACAATAAAAAGTAGTCTAAATGGATCTTGTTAGATTTCTTTTATATTAAATAATATGATTTTATAATTTATTTTATTTTTAAAATGATATAAATGAGAGAAAATTATATTTTATGAAATAAAATTAAAATATGATAAGGATAATCTTGTATTTTCAAAACAGCTTTTCGCAGAAGCTCCAAATCGGAGCTTCTGCTTTTATGTTATACAAAAGCGTTTTTCGGCTTTTCAAAAGCCAAATTTTTAGAGGTGTTTGGCCCTGTTTCGATTTTTGAAGCCAAAAAACACTTCTAAAAGGCGAGCCAAATATGGGTAAAATTTCAAACCCCTAATTAATTCAGAAGCAATTGGTTGTCCATCTCTCCTGAAATCTTCTCCGATGATCCATCTCCCTGAAGCAATCTTCCCTGTCCGTCTCCCCTTAAAATTTCAAACCCCTAAACTAATCATCTACTGTAAAACTTAAGCAAAAGAAACAAAAACTTCTTAAGTCACCACAATGGAACAACTACTTCAAACCATTCACATAGATCCATAGACGAAAACAGAAGCAATTAGGAGGTTAGAATTCAAAATTAGGAATCCAACACTATTTGCAGAAAAACGAAAGAGGCAAGAATCGGGTGCAGGAAATACTTCGAGGAAAACAGGCTTAAGATAGGGTGAGTAACCTTAGCGTGAGTAACAATGAGTAATCAAATCTGAACCCTTCTTTTAAGTGACTGCAGATCTAAGGGTGGAGAATTAAAAGAATTTTATTTCCCTAGTTTTCTTAATTGGATTATATCTTCTTCATTCTAACTCGGATTTCAATTTTTTTTGCACAGATGGAACGAGTTCGTTGTGCTCTACAAAATGATACCCATTTTCAATATTTTTTGAGAAAAAAATTTCCATCCCTCTCGTTACCAACTCCATACCATATGGTATCTCCTTCGTTGTTTAGTCATTTTCAGAAATTTTTGCATAAAAGGAACGATTTAATCAATGATCTATTGGATTTCAAAATTTGGGAGGGGAGGGGGGGGGGGGGGGGGGGGGGGAATTTCAAACCTCTCGTTACCAACTCCATACCATACTATACCACCCTGGTATGAGGTGGTATTTTTCATACCGCTGTTATTTAATACCATATGGTATTGACTGGTATTAAATAACAGCATATGGTATTGATTGATATTTTCATACTATATGGTATGTTGTTATTTAATACCAGTCAATATCATATGGTATAGTCAATATCATATGGTATAGTCAATACCATATGTGTAACATCCCGTATCTGGGTTAAATCTCACATCAAACTGGTTCGACGTTGGAATAAAGAACACCAACAATAATTGAAATGAATTCTACCGGTTTGGAAGAACTACGAGTACTCGTCAATTAAAGACGTGAAAAATTGAGAGAATAAATATGGCATGAACGAATTATAATAAGGGTGAAAATACTAACTAGTGAGCTCAGACGTTGACAGATTCAGATGTGATAAAAAAATGTATTCACCACCAAGATTCGAACCAACAACCTAAAGGTACACAATCATGTCCATTTACCAGTTGGGCTACACACTACTTATGTGTGAGTCTCATAGTAAATATTATTACTTACTATCTGCCGAGATCAAATTCTAAAGAAAGGAACGAAGTTCCCTGTACGTGGTCTCTGTCCACAAAGTGAAGAACCCATTATGGGTTAAAAGCAAATGGACAGCAGCATCTTTCCTATATATGCAAATGCAAGGAAGGAAGAGGGCCACGTCCTCTATTCATATTTTTTATAAACAAACCTTAATGACTCTCCATTCCATGAGCTGTGGATTAGAGATTGGATCCAAAATTTATTAACCAACCACCATATACCAACCCATTAAAGGATGTGTCTGTTGTATATATATATACAATGGAAGTTCGTTCGACAACGGTAAGTCCCAACTAAAGGAATGAATGAAATAGAGAGATAAGGAGAGTTTCTGGGTGTTCTGGGTTTGGGAGGTCGCCATAAGGGTCTGGGGAGGTCCCTCCACGAAGCTAGAAGCGTCGTTGAAGCCTTGTCGGAGCCTCGCCGGAGTTTCGTCGGTATCCCGTGACGGCGACAACGTCAAATCTAACCTCAACTATTCTGTGAGTGGTTGGTACCGTTACAAAGAGGACGATCCCAGGAGCACACACGTTTCGACGGAATCCATTTTCGACGTCGGACGAGGGAGAAACGAGCCTCGCAAGTTGGCCACGTAGAACTGTCAGTTTCTGAAAGTCAGGTACTGTTTCTGTCTATTCGAAAGGTTTGAGGACCTGGACGGACTTTTTCCATAGGAAGGGTCAACGACCCGTTTGACTGAAAAATATTATTTACAGTACTTGGAATTTCGAGAACTGACAGAATTCATATTTTGGTTGTAATTCGTTCGTTTGACGTCCAAACGACGAACCGTTTTCGCCTACAGGATCGTAGAGACGAGGAGAATGTTATCAAGGAGTATTGGAATTTTTACAGCAGCTGTGCAGAGTTGAATTACGTCATAAATAAGGTGTGTGGACCCTGCGGTGAATAAGCGATGTTTTACTACGTGCTATATGTTTAATATTGAAACATAGCTGAGGATTTAACGAAGATAAAATGAAGAATGTCGTTGAATGTACGATAACGATAATGTTTGCGAATGAATTTCTACTCGATGATTGAATGGATGATTTGATGAACTTAGTATGCATGATATGTACAATTTACCCTAAGGCATAGACTTGGTAATTACACCAAGATCGATTGAGATGGATGATTATTATATTGAGATTATGACGAGAATGATGATTTTTATATGATGTTCATATTAATCACATAGACTTAGAAAGGGCCTGCATTTACCCCCAACCATTTGATATTGTTACTGATGATCATTAGGATCGACGAGGCCAGTGGTCGGAGAGATATGATTGTGGTTTCTGATAGAACCACTGAGATGATGAGGCTCGAGCGGGGGTGGATGTATGGTGACCTTGGCGCCCAAATTAATAAAATGGAAATGCATTGCACTTGCATATTGTCTGGATATTGGATTCTAGGTTGAGAATTATATTAGGTTGAGACTTCAACCTAGATGCCATGATTAGGTGGTTAATCAATTGATGTGGAAAACGTATCCATGGACTTCGCCGTGTAGGAGGGAACATCGCCACACCTCAGCTAAATTAGTTAGCTGACCCCCTCCCCTTTTGTGTTCAGATCCGCAGCAGAGGAACTGAGCTTGGACGTCGGAGCTGTGCAACTTCTACTCCATCATGAGGTAGCAGACGATTGGTCGGAGGAGAGTTTTTACCTATGTTTTGTGTTTTAAAACAAGTATCATAAACATGTATTATGTTGAGTTTGATTGCATTGAATTTGATCGATTGAGTTATTATGATTTATGGATTGTACCAAAGTATGTAAGATGGAGATTTGACTTTCAACGAACTAGTGTTTGGATTTGATGTCATGAATTGGATGTTGTATGTTTAATAAACGAGATTGGATACTAATAAATGGGTTAGATTTGATATATATATATGTTTACCTCGAGTTATGTTTAGTAAAAGAAAGATGTATATGTATTGAATGATGAGTTAATACGTAAACCCCATTAGTATTTTTTGCTGTGCGGGTGAACCAGTGGTTCGACCCCTGAGTTTTAGGGTGGGGTGTTACATATGATATAGACCGGTAATAATTGACAAAAAATTTTTGTTCCAAAAAATATCAACGTGAATGTCATTTTGAAGAGCACGATTAATCTGATCTAACTGTGCAAAAAAAATTAAATTCCGAGTTAAAACAAGTGAGAAATCGTCCGTTAAAGATTAAGAAATAAAAAATTAATGATTTTTCCAGAAGAGAGAATGAGACACTGATGTGGCAGATTCTTATTGGGTTATGCATGGGGTTACTCACCACAAGGTTACTCACCGGATCTGCTCCAGGAAAACAAGCTAAGATCAAAGGAAGATGCGGATCGATCCGAAAGCTGGGCGTCTCGCCACCGCCGAAGCCCGCTGCAGCCGGCATCGATGGCAATTTTGCCGGACGTTGCCAACTACTGGTCGCAGGATACTCCTTCAATAGAGAGCCGCCGGCTGAGCCGCTGATGTGGGGAAGAGGTCGATACTCATTCAATAGAGAGCCGCTGATGAATGCCAGATTCCTCTGGTTCAGGGACGCCGGGGAGTAGGGAAGAAGACGAGTTCGTTGGGTGTACAATTAGTTCAGCGACGCCGGGAATGCTTGCTTTTGTTCCTTTTCTAATTAATTATTTTTTTGTTTTTTAAATCTTGGATATAAATAATAAAATAATTAAAATTAAAAATGAAATTTGGAGTAAAGGAGGGGTAATTAGGTCATTTTGCAGAACATTTAACGGTCACTTAACAGAAAATTAGATGAAAGGGTAAACTTGTTACGATTTAATATTAGAAGGGTATGTTTGTGCAAAAATTTAGTAGAAGGGTATGTTTGTTAATTTGACAAAATAGAGGGGCACAAAATGCTATTAACCTTTTTTATTCATTAAAAATGACACGTGTATAGATTCCAACAATGACCACTTTATAGAAAAGTAAGTATCATAACCAATCACACTAAGTACATTTTTTATCTTTTTAACCTAAAAAACATATAATAGCAGGGAGGAAAAAACACTTCCCCCATTTCAAATTCCCTGCTCCATGAGCGTTTGTAGAAAGGGTAGAATAGGGAGTTTCAATTTTTTCTCTTTCCTTTGTGGAATGGGCCAACTTACCGTACACATGCGGATTTAAACGGGTCCAGGAGTGTCAATTTTTTCTTTAACCCCTTTTATTTCTCGGTGGTGGTAAAATATATATGAAAAGACAAACACAATACTCCTTTTTATTGCTAAAAAGAAAAAATTTAACAATAAACTAATGCATGAATTCTAATGGGCTAACCGCTAACCATAAAATACAAGAGTTGAATGGATCTCACCTACACGGGATTTGGCCATCAAGTAAAACAAATGAACATTATGAGTTTGCCATTCTAAAACAAGCTATTTTCTCTAGCATAATATATATTATGCTTTTATTTTATATCTTAGTGGCTAAAATATAATGTATTTTAAATTTATTCAATGGTTTAACCTCGACCAACCCAATTAGTCCAATTTTTATCATTTCAAATATATATTATGTAATTATTTGATATCATAATGATTAAATTATAGTGTATTTTATTGAGAATCATTTGGTATTTGTTAGTAAAAAACTAAATAGAAAGATCTATTTGGTTATTTTTAACATTAAAACGATTCTAATTTTTTTTCGTTTTCTTTCGAATTTCTATGGTTTTATTCCCGAATCAGTGATGTGCAAATGGCGAATTGCAATCATCTCTTTTCTTTCACTATTTTTTATTTTCAAATAGAAAGTTTAAAAGTAAATAATAATTAGAGTTTGGCATGGGTCGGTCAAACAGGCTTAATTTCAAGTTTTGACCCGTTTTGATCAAGTCTAATTTATAATCACATGGTTCCCTGATACCTGATAAAAATCTCCATCCAAACCAGTTTGGTAGGTTAGTTCGTGTTTACCACTATTGTCTAGGGATACAGGAACGACGATTCCTATCCACAATCGTGTTGTTCGTTCTTGATTTCTTTAGATTTTATCATAGCCTGGCAAAAACCAGAAAGCACAATGACGACAAGATGAAAGTTTTATAAAGCAAATTAGTCGGCCAACAGGCCGAGTAAAAGCTAGCAACAATTGTGAGATGCTCATTTGCCGAGAACCGGCAGGATAGGTGATTGTTTATTCGATTTTTTGGAATTCGGTTTCTACAAAACTTACTCCACCTCATCATATTACCAGAAACAATATTGTTTCACAAGGTAATATGTACTTGATTTTGGTTCATAAGACTGATTTTTGATTCGTTGCAATATTCATGTCTCTTCCCTGCTAAAATTCACTATTTTTATCACGTATTTTCAAAAAAAAAAAATAATAATAATATTGTTACACCGCATTACATTATCAAATTTAATACCTCACCTTCGTCCGGCCAACTGACCGGGGCCACACTAGTGATTAGTACTAATTTTGTAACAAAAGTAAAGAAGGTAAACTATTAGGTGAAAATATTGGATTAACAGAAAATGACATAAATACTGCAAACTATTAGGTGGTAATTGGGGAGGGTTCAGTTTTTGGTTTTAACATGAGTTGCGTAAGTGACTACTAACTAGGTGAGTTAGGATGGTTATTATTTTTGAAGTAACGGCTACCTATATCTCCATCCTTTATTCTCAATATTTATAAACTTACGATCAGGATTATTAGGGATAATTTTGGATAAAAAATAATAATCTCACCTGATTACTATCCTTAAAATAGGATTAACATATATTCTCTTTAAACCTTAAATAACCTTATTCCTCTCCTTCCTCTATAATAGCCACTGTATCCTTCCCCTTCCTCTTCAATCGCCGGCCGCCGCAAGTTTGGCTCCACCGGTCCTCCCCTCCAACCATCTTTTTATTCAAACGCCCATAATCCTTAAACCTTCTAAATCCATTGTCCCCTTTCTCCTTCTTCTCTCCCCTTTTCCTTTTCCTTTTCCCCACCCATCACCGCTGAAACTATAGCAAACCCAAATCAGCGGCGAAGAATACCAATAAGCCCAAATCGTCACCAGAATTTGCAGCACCATCAATGGACACACTTGTCCCAGATCGGGACCGCCCCGACGACGACGATTCCCCGGCCCCTTGCGAATCTTCCTCCGATGTTGCTGACGGCGGCGCTGGGTTCCGAAGATGGATCACCGGTCGAGGCCGTGGTTAGAAACGAGAACATGATCAGAGAGATCAAATACAGTTTGCCGGAGGGAGAGTTTAGCTTTGCTTCTGCATGTAATCTAGAATGGTAGTGTTTGCATTAATAGAGGATTTGCTTTGGTAGCTCCCTTGCATTTTATTTTGGTATTGTTTGTATTATGCTTTGGTAGTGTTTGCATTATGCTTTGGTGGTTACCTGCATTTTGTTTGGTGGTTACCTGCATTTGTGTTGATTAGATGGAGCATTATGTTTTGGTAGTTATCTCCATTTGGTTTGGTAGTGTTTGCATTATGCTTTGGTAGTTTCTCTGTATTTGTTTTGGTAGTGTTTGTATTGATTTATTTATGCAATGATATTGTTTTGATTTCACAGTAGTAGTTGTATTGGTTGTTTTGGTATTTGTTTGACTTTTGTAATGATATAGATTGTTTATATTGGTAGTTTTCATGTAATGGTATAGATTTATTTATGCAACGGTATTGATGTTTTTCAAAATGGTAGTAGTTGTCTAATGGATTGGTAGTTATTTCGCGTTTTTTCCTTTGCAGGAGATTGAGAAAAAATATAGAAATGAGATTTAGCTGGAGATTACGGAAGTGAGAGAGAGAGAGAAAAAAAATTGTAATTAATAGATTTTGTAACTACCTAAAATGTAATTTATTAAAATTAATTAATTAATATTGTTGGGTGTGTGCATAGATGAGCCATTGGGGGACATGGGCCCATGGAGGCTGCTTAGGCCCAAGCCCGCTTCAGTGCAAGGAGATGGGGATGAAAGGTAGGAGTAAGGCCCATTCGAGGATCCACAGGCGCATAATGACAAGAATGGAGCGGGGACCGTACAAATCAGGGACCAGAAGGCTGAGGGCATGTCACCTGGCTATGTGGTCCCTGCAGGCGCCAGGGGCTGGGAGCCCAGGAGCTGCCACGTGGAGGCGCTCGACCGTTGGGCCGTACCGAGCATTTAATGACGCGCTGACGTGGAGCTGAATTCTAGGAGCCTGGTCGGGGCCTCGACGAGTATAAATAGTACTCGGTTGGTAGCATTTAAGTAGGTTGGCTTCTCTCACTAAAATCTCTCTGAGCACTTATCTCTCTAAATTCGACACTGACTTGAGCGTTGGAGTGCTAACGGGCGTCCCAAAGCCCTTTAGGCGCCTGTCTCTGCAGGATCTAGGCGCCCCGGGAGAAGTTCATCAGTCGGAGGTCCGGAGAGGTGGGCCCGGAGGGTACTTGAAACAAACTATCTCTCCATAATAGGCGCCCACCATCACGATAGTATTCGTGCAGGACAGGCGCCCGGGAAGATGTGGGACGAAGATTAATTGGGTACAAGGAAATGAGCCTGGCACCTTCAATCTCCTCGGCAGTGGAAAGAGTCACATCAACATTGAACGCCTCATGATTGCCCATCACCCAACCTCTGGTGAATGAGGCGCCACTTTCGTAAAAGGAGTCCTTATGCGCCTTTACGAAGAAGAAACTCCTAAGCCACTCCCTCCCTAACTTGGGACATTCTATTAAGAAATGGCCGGGAAGACCCAGGCGCCTCTGCAGTGATAGGCAGTTATCGGAGTAGACCATGTTGAAAAAATAATGGAAAAGGTTGAAGGTAGCCTCGACGTTATGCTGACGACACTTCAACTTAAAAAGAATATGTATAAGGAAAACAGAGGGTGATAGGCGCCCAATCGAACATCGGCAAGTGGTTAGTATGCCCTCTAGGATAGAGTCGAGGGGAAATCGGAGTCCAAAATGAAAATACTCCCGGTAGAGGCCAAGCCACCGAGGTCCGACTACTCCAACTCTGGCCATACTGGAGGCAGGCGCATAGGACCAGGATCGCGGAAGTTGTAGTGACACGACCAGATTTTCTAACTCCAATGATTTCACGGTCGAAATTTTTTGTGGCCCTGCTTCACGAAGTGACAAGTGGCATGTCTCGTCAGGCGCCTGTCCCGACGGCCAGGTGTCCACCCATCTCCGTAGTTTGATGGAATCACCCTCCTCGACGTCCGAGTCGGAAGATTGCAGAGACATCGTCGATCCGGATGAGTGCGAAGATCCAGGCGCGGCGCCTATAAGGTTCGACGCAAAGGGGGGTGAATCAATTCTAAGCCCTAAAAACTACAGGCGCCGGCCCTAAAAAAAATTTACTCGGCTTGGGATTTGAAGGCGCCGCCGCATCACCGGAAGGGTTTACAGAAGGATGGGAAGTAGGCGCCGCACCCTTGTCGGCGGTGTCATTTGCAGACGTTGTCTGAGAGCTGAGCGGCATAGCGGTCGAGGGGGCATCACCCTTACTAGACGCCTGAGATTTGGTGCGAGGAGTCCAGGCTCCCTTCTCGCGGAGTGGATCGGGAGAGAAGTGTCCCTCCAATTTTTGTAAAACGTCGGGCTCCGATGGCTTCTCCTTCGCCGGGTTAGTGGAGGGGGCACCCGAGCTGGATTTGCTTGACATTTTGAAGATCAAGAAGGAGAAAGAAGGCGCACAGGCAGCCCGGCGAAGAGAGAGAAAGACAGAGAGAGTTAGAGAGAGAAGGGATTTGTGCGAATGAAGAGGGGAGGTGGCGGTTTAAGGTATTTATATGAGGAGGAACCTAACGGGCAACTACGGGGATGCGCGCCCGATCCTCATATCTAATCCTCACCGTCCGTTTGAATTTTGAAAAAAAATACATATATATATTTTTGAAATTCAAATTTCAAGACGCACGGAGAAGAGGGCATATAGGGACGGGCACGCCATGGACTTCATAAATTAAGGAGCTTGGGCGCCTGACCTGATGGTTTAGGTGCCTCCTTATGAATGCTCAATCGTGGATAGAAAGACAAAGGATGAGGGAGCCATAGTCGATGCAAGAGCAGGGGGGCAAGGTTTGTTCACGAAAACACTCAAGAGAGCGCCTAGAGGTGACCTGAACAGTTAAGGCGACCAGGCTCCTGTCGAGCGGTCGAGGGCGCACGAATAATCTGGCAGTCGATTAAACGCCTTGGACAGCGGAATTACATATATAGTTAGACGCTCATTGCATGCCATGAGCGCCTAACTGGGGGACAATTGTTGGGTGTGTGCATAGATGAGCCATTGGGGGATATGGGCCCATCGAGGCTGCTTAGGCCCAAGCCCGCTTCAGTGCAGGGAGATGGGGATGAAAGGTAGGAGTAAGGCCCATTCGAGGATCCACAGGCGCATAACGACAAGAATGGAGCGGGGACCATACAAATCAGAGACCAGAAGGCTGAGGGCATGCCACCTGGCTATGTGGTCCCTGCAGGCGTCAGGGGCTGGGAGCCCAGGAGCTGCCACGTGGAGGCGCCCGACCGTTGGGCCGTACCGAGCATTTAATGATGCGCTGACGTGGAGCTGAATTCTAGGAGCCTCGTCGGGGCCTCGACGAGTATAAATAGTACTCGGTAGGTAGCATTTAAGCAGGTTGGCTTCTCTCACTAAAATCTCTCAGAGCACTTATCTCTCTAAATTCGGCACTGACTTGAGCGTTGGAGTGCTAACGGGCGTCCCAAAGCCCTTTAGGCGCCTGTCTCTGCAGGATCTAGGCGCCCCGGGAGAAGTTCATCAGTCGGAGGTCCGGAGAGGTGGGCCCGGAGGGTACTTGGCACAAACAAGTATAATTTATTTTTCCATACCCAATTTATCCTTATTAACCACGATGATTACTCCGTAACCGCTCCCCTACAAATACCTATAAAGCAATGTCTAAAAACTCACTTTGCCACATCAACCACTGCTGGCTATACTATAAATTTCGAAGGGGTTAATATGTTCATTCCCCCCTCCTCTGTTCGCACCTAACTTCTAGTTTCAATTTTTTATTTCCCCTTTTTCCCCGGATTTGTCTAACTAAACTACTAATATTTAGCTCTTTTCCTTTCCTTTTTTAATTCCACTAGCCCACGTCACCACTAAAAAGAAGTCTTAATATTTTTTTGGACCATCAACAAGTTTTGAAGCAAAATTTTAGTATTTTTTTCCTTTTGTCATACAGGTTATTTTACGTTTACGTGGTTGGGCTTTAACTTTAGTCCATGAAATTGTTTTGTTTATTATAATAATTAATAGCTATATCATAATACAATAATACTTACTACAAGATCAACAATAAAAAGTGGCTATATACAAAAATATCAAAATGACACTTAACCAATATAAGACGGTTTTATATAGCATAAATGTCGGGATATAGAATCATAACATATTCAGGATAGCAACTCAGAAACATTAATAAATCGTTCGGTTCAAATATAAATCAAAGATGTTATAAAATTGGAATTTAGACAATGACTTTATAAATAGATATTCATAATGCTTGAGCCTAATTCAATTAGCATAATAAAACTTCTTGTATTATGATGTATGTTCAAGTCAACCCTTGATGGAAATTCAGTTCAAAAATTGAGTATGGTAGTCTAGAGTTAATTATTGAGTAAGAGAATAATGTTAAAGCATGTTGACTTAGAACGCTCAATTAATTTATAAGCGATGAATTGACGAATCTCAATCGAAGTCCCACTTGGCTATCATTTATTTTCTCATGAACTTCAACTGTTAAGTAATATCATTTTATTTTTTTCATAAACGCCCCACCCCACCTAGTTTAATATGAGAACTTTCTTCTTGCATTAAGATGGAATTTAATTTTCTTTCTTTGAAATTGAATTCCCTATTTAATTTTGACTTTTTATATTTTCCAATTTCCACTAAATTGTTGAATTGTAAAGAATATAAATTATTTTTCAAAGAAAATATCAATTTAAAAAAATGAAAACCATCCGGCCAATCGGCCGGGCCACAATCTAGTGTCTATTAAATGACAAAAAAATTATTTATACCCTTAGGAATTAGGTTCCTTGTACAAAACTTCGAATCAAAATTTGGTGTATTGAAGAATTATTTTGGGTTGATTAACTTTAAGCCTTCGGGAATAGATTTGTAATGGTTATGTTACTATGCTTAGTCATATAAGTAGTGAGTTGTATGGATAAGAGAATGAAAAAATGTGAAAGTTGAATGTAAATCAATCACGAGGTTCGAGTCTAAAACATTAGAATTGAAAAAAATAGAGGGATGGTGTGAGTTTTTTTTATTCTCACTCCGAATCTCCGACCTTGTGTGTAGGCAAACCAAACATGAGTTTTTGAACTGAATAATTCATACTAGTTTGGTACCCGGTCCGTTGGCCGGGTAAATTTTGTTTGAAATATGTACTTTGGTAATTTTTTCCTCCTAAGGTGTCTATTTTGTTCAGTCTGTCATTGTCCTCTCTCATTTCAAATCGTGTATACCTTTGAGTCCGACCAGTTGGCCGCTAAATGATTTTTTTTAAGATAAATTAGTTTGTACTGCACGACAATATTTTAGCACCCATGAAATTGTTGTGCATTATTATTATGATATTACAAAATTAAACATTGATATTATTTAGTAACTCAGTAGAATAAGAAATTTGTTCTGCGATCTATGTTAGTATATACTTTATGGCGGTACAATTGAATGATATTGATATAGTTTCGCAACTATCGAATAGGAACATACCTTGTATATATATGATTGTGGCTATGTTTAAAAAAAACATATATCAAAATGGATATCCTTGTGTAGATCACATAAAATCTGATTTTTTCGCGCAATAATATTTAAATTTGGAGTTGAAGCGAAATAAATATGAATCAATTAAGAGTAGTAGGGGAGATTTAAAAATAAGAGAGAGAGAGAGAGAGAGAGATAAGTGGCACATTCTGATTGGGGTATAGAAAAACTTAAAATAAAAAAAAGGAGTTAAGAAAAAATCTGATTGATCAGAAGGGTGCTGACGTGGATGCGTAGGAGGGCTGGAATTTTGAAATGGTGAAGGTAGTTTTTGGGAAAGCCTTTATATATTTTATAGATAGATATGGAATCTGGTCCGAACTCTCGGGTTCAAATACCTCATTCATATGACCCATAAGTATCTAGGCTAGCGAGTGAAATTTTAGCTTAGTCAGAGAAATTCATCCATACAAATCTATGATTTTATTATTCTCTTTATCCAAATCTGTGCGTTTTATCCTGCTTAACCACTTGAGTAAGTCACCCTCGCAACCCATCCTTTAAGGAGCTAATTCAATCGTCCAATCTCATATAAGAAGTATCCTCCATCTTCAATTAATACGAAATTTCAATACTTTTTCATCAAATTTCTCTAGGGATAGTTTGGACGAGGGTTATGTTTGAGGGATTTTAATACAATCCCTCTCAATAAGATATTTTAATAAAATCACTCGTTTGGAAAAGATATAAAAGATGAGAGATTTTAATAATTAGATATTTCAAAAACTCTTAAACGCAGGTTTTTTAAATAGCTGATGGCCATCAGCTATTCTGAAATCTCTCGACTTATTTTTTATTTTCCAACCTTGACCCTTTCCTTCTTCCTTAGATATGCAACTTGCCAGCCCCATTCAACACCAACCCGTCGTCGTCCGTCACCCCAGACCTGCTTCGATCGACGCCGTCGCCCAAGATGTCACCGATTCCGTCATCATCCATAACAATATTTCATTCCAAAAAAACCCACCCCTTAATTGCAGTTTGTGAACCCCAAAAGCCCATTAGGCTTCCCCTGTCTGCTCTTCTCACAAAAACAAGCCGATGATGACGGCAAGATTGCAGGTGGTCTGCTCGGGTTGTTAAGATTTCGACGACACCTTCTTCTTCCCAAACCCAACGAAGATTGGGCACTTTTTGGGCTGGCGATTTTTGGCAAATCAAGTTGATTTCCAGTGACGCTCTCTTCTTTCCAAAGCCAGCGACGAATGATTGTTCTTTGGGATGGGTTATTTCCGGGTTCAATCTCCGGATTTCTTGACTACTTATGAAGAGACGAAGAAGAACATGAAGGCGACGTATTTCCTGCGATGACTGCAGGTCCACAAGGAGCACAATTCTGGGTTCGTTTGCTAAAACAACGAAGAAGACGAAGAAGATGGTGAATAAAAGAGGGCAAAACAGAAATTTGACTCTTCTCGTTAAAATCCCCTATCTCATTCCAAACGAGTCATTTGTTACAAATCCTTAATATAAATTCCCTGGATTTTTAAACAAGGGATTTTAATCCAAATCACTCACAAATCTCTCGTATTAAAATTCTGCATCCAAATGACCCCCTAGTTTTTTCTTCTTCCAATGATTCAGTCCATCTAATACCTATTTACCCATTCAGGGGCAACAAACATCAAATCTCCCATCGTGATTTTCGTTTTCGTTTGTTTTGACCAGAATGGCTAGTGACACAATGAACTTTTGGTGGATACCAAAAATTGTACTATCATTGCCCATTGTCTTCTTCTGTTCATCATCTTCCTAGTCAGCTACTCATCCTCCTCCACTTTGAATTCCTACCTTCTGGACAAATACCAACATGGGTCTTATATACTCTTAAACAGTGGAATCCATAGACAAATTTCATCTATCAATTGCCCTGGTCCTGGGATGCATTGCATGTGGTTGTGTTTAATATATATCGGTCCACTATCTCTCCATAACCTGGCTATAGACTTCTCGACCAGTGAAGGCGTTTTGGAAGATTGCCATTTGTAACCACGTTGGCATATCCTTTTCAACAATGGAAAGTAAGAATGGAATCCGAAGTTCATCATCCACTCCTTATAATTATGTTTCCAACTTCCAGAGAGTTGTTTGCTCTCGTCAAGTAAAGAGGAGGACAATGGAGCACTTCTACAATATTATATAGTATTGGTGCTTTAATGTATAACTTAAAGTTGTACCATCACATAAAGGTACAAGTTCAAGTTGTACCATTTAAAAGAATTTCTACAAAAAGTATAAGTACAATATGAAATTGTACCATAACGTAAATGTATAATTAAGTTGTATCATAAAGACAAAATTCTATAGCATCAATACTATATAGCATTGTAAAATTTCTCACAAACAATATACATGAAATCACTATAATTGCCATAATCAACATGCCATTATGATTCAATGTCCACTAGGTATGCACCGCGTTCGTTCTGATCGGTTCAATTTATTAAAAGAATGCGATCCAGATTGAGATAACTTGCAGTGCATTCTGAAGAGGCGTATGTGGAGAAACACATGCTCTGAAAAACTGTATATGGAGTTTGTTGAGATGAGATGAGGCTTGAACTCACAACTCTGATTTTGCGAGTCAAAGTTTCATAAGGAAGTCACAATTTGTCGTGTAAATAAGTTGTGCATCTAAAATACACTTTCATAGTCATAACTATTCGCGTCATGACAATAATAGACACTTTTTGAAAAATACACAAATATAACCACTTTTTCAAACTTACTTGGCAATTTTAGTCATTTCCGTTATAAACTTTAACGTCGACACTAACCTCTACCTGCCGCTGAGGTGGACTGACACCACCTGGATGACACATCATATTATAAAATAATTTTTAACAACAAATAATTAATTTTACTAAAAAAATCAAAAGAAAAATTTTTGGAAAGAAAGAAATCGTTTTAATTTTATTTTATTTCTCTCTCTCTCTCTCTCTCTCTCTCTCTCTCTATTATCTGCTGGCTTGCCCTTACACAACAACCGTTGACCTTCTCCGCCCACTGAAGAAGTCATCGCTTCCTCCAGCCTTCCTCTCTCGATCATCGTCTTCCTCCGCCACCGCTCTTTTGCTCCGATCAACTTCACCGACGAAAAACATCCTTCAATCAGTCTGATATCTTTCCACTACTTCTTCTTCACTAAGATTCGTTCGAATCTCCCGACGATTAGCTTCTCGATCTGGAATTTTTATCGCTCAATTTTCTCCGAACCCTAAGTCTTCCTAACAACGACTATGGATGAGCGATGGCTGTCAATCTATTTATGGTACTCGCCTTGCACTCACCCAACCCTCAATATCTCTCTTCTTCAATGTTAAGGAGAGGGGCTTCAGACAGATCTGGAGATCTCGTCGGAGATGAGGATTCTGGAGATTCAATGGACTAGGCGGCCAACATATATAGGTATCCTCTGCCACTGCCGTTGAATCCATCATCGTTGGATTCAGATATCACCCCAATCGGCGTCTCCTCGTGCGAAGGAAGGTGAACAAGGTGAGAGGAGGTAGATGTTCGAAATTTGGTTGGTGGAGGAGCTTGCCGGAGATGGAGGAGCGTGCAACAAATTGGGGATTTCTTCCCCTAAATCATCTGAAATTAGGGTTCGCCGGGCTCGCGTCGCAATTCTGGGTTGGACGATTCCTATGTACAAACTTCACCAAAGATGGAGGAGCTGTACGGGGAGACGTCGTTCACTGGCTCGACGGAAGGGTGGGTCGGGGTGTGGTCTTCGATCGATTGACTTCGTCGATCTGGAGTAATGGGGGAGCTGTTTCACTGAGAGAAGAAGGAGAGAAGAGAAAGGGTAGAATTCGTGTGAAATGGTCAACAGGGTCGATTAATTGGTAAAGTTAGTTTTAGGGTTTAAACTTTTTTTTAAGTAATGAAATAAGAAACACTTTCCACCTGTCCTGCCACGTAGATGAACCACGACCACATTACAAACATCCATTAGTCCAGTCACCAGTCGTGAGATTCCCGTTAAAGTTTTGGACGGAATGACTATACAATTGTATTTTTCAAAATTTGGCTATATTTGTCACAACGCTAATAATTATGGATATGAAAGTGTATTTTGCCTTTATTTTATATGATAGGTTTAATTCTCGAATTCATAATTATATATTATATGAAGATAGAGAAGAAGATTAAATTAAATTGTTGAGGTATTTAGGGTAATAATGTTGGCATAAAAGTATCTAGGGTATGACGTATGAGTGCATTCATCCATCAAACAACTTACTTTTTTCCCCATTTGTCCATTCACCTACACGTGGAGAAGAGGCAAAAACGCTAAACTGGACTTTCTCAACCAATTAATCCTTATTTTGGTCATAGATAGAGGTAAAAAATAGATAGTCAAAGTACAACACACAACCAAACGCGACAATCGATAAATAGTCGAATTGTCAATGAAGAGCATGTTTAGTTACTAAATTGGCAACCCTGTTATACCTGTGCAGGGTATATGTACAAGAAAAAAAATGCTAAAACTATCACTCGAACTTCTTCCAGAATTGCTCCACCTGCCCCATGAGCCACCTCCATCTCCATCTCCATCTCCATTTCCATCTCCATCTCCATCGCTCATCGAGCCAATGATTGGCAGTCAACACAAAAATTTACCACAAAAAAGTAATGCAGTAAACACCAATTAGTTGCATCTCGAAACACTAATAATTCCATCTTAAATTATATATCAATGTTCCACGATCTTCCATCGAAAAATCAATGTTCCGCTCGCTAAACTGAAATGACAATAAAATTTGAACAAAATAAGATCACAAAAAGCATTTCCTTATGAAAACAAACCATATTTCCACTAAAAAATGTCTGGTTACGGTTTAAAACTTAAAAAAAAAAATATATATAAATTAACCCTTTGATTCAAGTATTATTTTATATTAAAACTTTATTCTAGTCATCTAATTAAATAAATTAATTTTAAGCTCTATAATTCTTTTTGGTATACTTTAAATGGCAAAATTAGCTAGTAAGCTACAATATTTAATTGATCAATAAAAAATTAGAGGTCTATCAAACCAAAAAACTCTCTCCTCTCAACGGATGACCGCTTTTGCCATAATGTCAGCTACGCCATTCGCTTCTCTAGGTATATGTCGTCATATACCATTCCCCTGTCGAAGACTCCGCCAAATGCTTCGACATTTTTTACACCTAAAATAATCTAGACTAAATTAAATGCCGCATGGATGAGTCTCGACATTTAATTCGATGCCGCATGACAAAAAATGGTGTCGTTTGGAGTCGAGCGGCATCGCGGAGAGTTAAAACGACACCGCAAGGAAGCTCAACAACAACTCGGTACTTAAAACGAAAAACAATGTCGGATTCACTCGGCCTTTTGGTGTTGTTATTGGAAAAGGAATGTTTTTTGTTTATTCCTTGTCGGAAGAGGAGGGATACGACACCGCCTAGAAGCTCGACGGTACCGCGATGTTGAGAATTCGGTGAAAACAATATCGCGAGCCAAGGCTACGAATTTATTGCGGTTCGCGATGCTGCTGTTGGAGTTGGAAAAGGGAGCGTTTTTATTTTTTTTTCTTGTCGGATGAGGGATAAAACCAATGTTGTCAGAACCAAACCGGAGCATGACTCGATAATGCGAACGACTCGCACTTTAGTGGTCCAACTGGCAATAGACCGTTTAAAAATCGTTAAAGAACCGGTACCCAATAAACGTTATCAATATAAATAGTGGAAATTTCTTAATCAGAGCTCATCTCTTTCCTTCGAAATTGTGAAATGGAAATAAGGATTCAGTTTAAGAGCCCGACGTGTTTATTTTATTTCAATTTTCAATTTTCTGCAATTTTTTAATTAAATTTAACGACCGAATGGCAAAAACCGGACGAGCGGCTCGAGCGGTTAACCGCCTCGGCCGCTCGCCAACCGCTACATAAAACCGGAGCGACTTTTAGACTGTTGCAAGCCGATTTTGTGAAGGGGTGGTGGTTTTAGTGGTCGGGCCGAGCGGCTCGGTTCGGCTTTAATAACACTGGATAAAACGGTGCCGCGAACCTCAAAGCTCAACGACATCGCAAGACTGGGAAACAGTGTCGTTTGGCTAAAAAAGACACCTTGAGTAAATCCAACGACACCGCGGATTAGAAAACGATACCACGAGCGGTCTTGGTAAGTGATGCCATTTAGTTAAAAACTATACCATAGCGGGTTGGATTTTGGCGAGGGCGGCCCGGCAAGCCCAACGGCACTGCAAGACGAGAAAAACGGTAGCGTTTGGTAGAGAACAGTGTCACGGAATGAAAAACGACATTGTTTGATGGGACCGGGATGGAGCAGTTCAAGGTCAGCATCGATCAGTGAAAAGCGATGTCGCAGAAAGATTAAATGGCGCCGATGGATGAGAATTTGACCGCGTGACAATAATGAGCCGGTTTAATTAATTAATCTGTTTAATGATTATTTTAGATGGTGTTGTTTGGCTAAAAACGACGCCGCGAGAGAAAACAACACTGTGGATTAGAAAACGACAGTGTTTAATATAAAACAATGTCGTGGAGTAAAAAAGCAAACAGAGTTGTGCGCGAGAGAAAACGACACCGCGGTATCATAAACGATATCGTTTGATTAAAAACGAGATCGTAGTGGTTAAGAGCTTGGCCAAGGGTGGCCCGCTAAGTCCAACGCCACTGTTATCCCAAAGCAACATCGTCATTGTAACTTTGTTCCACGTGAGATTCACGCAGAATCAAAATCGAGGCGGTTGAGACACGTGGGAGTTCAAGACGGAGCAGTTGAGGAAGCAGTTTCATGAAGCGTAAAGCCTAAGCAGATGATTTCAGATAAAATCATCGGAGTAAGGAGAGAGAAAGGGACAACGGAATCAATACAGATCAACTCTGTCAAAACTTTAACTTTTCTCTGTAACTCCTTCGCGGAGCTCTCCTTCCAGGAAGGTTCTCCATAGTCGTAGCAGTAGTCGTAGTCGCGAAGCTCTCCACAAAAATCTCCATAGGAGTAGTTGTAGCGTAGATTCCACCAAAAATCTCAAACACCCTTGTTCGAACATTGTTTGGAGAGGTGTGAATCGTAGTAACGGTCGTTATTGGTTAGAAGTCTGAGGTGCATCGATCAAATTAACACCGTCTAGCAGTGGATATTTGACGATCGTAGTCAGAGTTGCACCGATCAAATCAACACTGCCCAACGGTGGATATTTGACGGTTGTCTCGATTTCATCAATCAGCAGTGCATCCGATCAAACAACACTGTAAGAGTTTCCATCGCAAAACATCAAATCAACATCACCGGAAACAAATTCGGCACCGGAGGTGGATATTTGGTTTCTCAGCGAAACAAACATACCACCCCAACTTCCTTGAGATCACGAGTGTGGGTTCTGCATCTTCGAGATCATGGACATACAGTCGCTCTCAAGGATCGAAGTACCTACATTCATTCCCGTCATCAGCTGCATCCCAAGTTCCGCGACCATTACTTCTGCCATTTCCACACTATACTCGCCGCTCATCCTCTTCGTTGTTGCTAACACAAAATCGCCATTGCTACCCCGCACAACTGCTTCAAGCCCTACTCCCCCCTCATTAAGCATATCTGCGTTTGAGATAACGAAAAATCGTCCCGGCTCCGGCTTTCGCCATTTCTTTATGACCGTGACAGGCGGTGCAAGCTGCTCGCCCACTTGTTTATAGTAAACATCCATATGTTTTTCTTTTCGTAATAAATATCTGAGAAACATATGATGCAAACTTATATTATATAACAATTTAAAGTACTAAAAATATGTTATACAGGGTGTTCAAATGGTTACCATGATTGTTGAAGACACAATACTTCTTTCCCGTCGTAAGAGTTGTTCCCCCTCTCAATAGGCGCACAGACCCTGCAAGATAAACTCCTAGAGGGCTTAACCTGCCCATTAGCACTCCGACGATCAAGTTAGCAACGATTCTAGAGAGATAAGTGATATCCGTGATCTTAGTAAGAGAAACCAACCTACTTAAATGCCACCTACCGGGGGCTATTTATACTACTTGAGCTTCCGACCAGGCTCCGACCAACTCCTGCAACACAGCCTTACGTCAGCTCAGCATTAAATGGCTGGTCTTGTCCAACGTCTAAGCGCCCACATGTGGCGCATTGTCCGGCCTCCGCACCGGGGCGCATGGGGGGACCATCTGCCTATGTGGCGCTTTCCCGACCTCTCCCATCCGTACTTCCTTGTCCACGAGTCTATTTTGTCGTCATGCGCCCCTTTGCCATTCGTATCACCCAGGTCATGCCCTAATGGGCCATTAATGGGCTTCAGGCCCATCAGGCACTTGAAACACTTTGCCCCCCTCACCGTGTGGGGCGACCTTTCGCGCTTTACACCCGGTTTCGATCCCTCCAGTTGATCCTAGCCTGCTTTGTATTACCCTTATGTCTCCTTCGATTTAGGGCACCTACCATGGCTCACACTGAGGCGATTTCTTTGTATTGCCCTTTGACCGTTACCTTTGAGTTTCATGTACTCTGGGCGCCTGTCTGTGACCCTTTAACCCTTTTTGAATAAAAATCAGGCGCGACCGTTTCACATACTCAGCGCGCCTATCTGCGACCCTTTAACCCCTTTTGAATAAAAATCAGTCGCGCGAACGTTTCACATACTCAGGGTGCCTATCTGCGACCCTTTAACCCCCTTTTGAATAAAAATCAGGGGCGCGAGCGCTTCACATACTCAGGGCGCCTATCTGCGACCCTTTAACTCCCCATGAATGAAAAGAGGCGTGCGACCGTATCTCTCGCCCCCCGCTCGGCAATCATTGTGAATTTTGAATTTCAAAATTCGAATTCAAAATTCTAATTTTGGAACGAACGGCGAGGATCTAGCCGTTTAGCGCGCGCACATCTCGAGGTAGACTCCTCCTCTCCCTTCCTATAAATACAAACCTTCCACCTCTTCTCCTCTTCATTCGACGTCGAATTCCACTCTCTCTAGCTTTTCTCTCTACTTGCTCTGCTCCTCTCTCGTCTGTGCGCCTCCTTTCTACATCACTAATCATGTCTCAATCCGACTCCGACATGACCAACGCCACCACCGAAAAAGGGCGGAAGCGCCGCGCCCAATGTTATCACTGTGCTCGAGCAGCACCTGTTCCCGGACCCGCTTCGCGATCACGAACAACTGGCCCCTCGCTCTAAGAAGGATGCGCCTAAGAAGCCAAAGTCTGCCCCTTCTTCCTCAGCGACTGTTGGTACAGAGGCGCCTGCAACTACAAAGGCCCCGAACACGCCTACGACCGCGACTCCAGGGCCTGCCGCCGCCAACCCGGGTAATTGACCTTTTCCCTTTCGCTCTCCGAACTTTTTGTATTCGGTTTGATCCTTTGCTAGGCGCCCACAAGCGGTCTTAGGCCCTTAGTATTGACCAAGGAAGATTGGATCACTTTTAGGTCCCACGCCTACCTTGTCAGCGTCGAGTGATTTGGTGATTTCTCCGGCATCCACTGATTCAGGCGCCCCTGAAGATGAGTCTTTCAAGATAGTTGATTGGGAAGATTCATGGCCACAGGGGGAAGCGCCTAAAAGCACCAACAAGCTATCTGTTCACCGAGCTGGGCCGAAACATATGTCCACTATCAAGATAGCTGAATTGCATCGACTGATTACTTCCTGCAACCTGCCTCGCACCCAGACCTATGCACCTGCCTCACCAGCTGCCAGGATAGGAGTGGTTGGCCCACGATGGCTTGGTGTATATAGGGAGTATTTCAGATTCGGATTACGCTTCCCCTTGGATTCAATCTTAGAAGGGATCCTATCAACATGCGCCTGTTCACTTGGGCGCCTATCGCCCTCAGTTTTCTTGATTCACATCCTGTTTAAGCTGAAGTGCCGTCAGCACAACATCACGTCCACGTTCAAGCTTTTCCGCTATTTTTTTTACCATGACCAGCAGTGACAACTGCTTGTCCCTACAGAGGCCCCTGGACATCCCGGGACACTTTGTAGAAGATTGCCCGAAGTTGGGGCGCGAATGGTATATGGGCTATTTTTTCATTAAGGCGCGCGCTGAGTCATTTTACGAGAGTGGCACCCGCTTCACCCGGGGTTGGAAAGTTGGTGGTACTACACAATTTAACGCTGACGTGGAGTTATCTAGCGTCGAGAAAGAGCATGCGCGCCTGCTTTCCCTTCACCCCGTGAACTTAAGTTCCACAACCGTTAGAACCCCTGTGTTGCATGAGTACTACGCTTAGCAGTGTGCTTATATCACCGCAAATTACACACGCCTGTGTTCCTTTGTATATGCATAATAGTTATAGTGATTTTGTTTAACCGTATATTTTCTGTTGCAAGCGTGAACTTCACATCTATCTCCTCTTTGATGAAGACCCAACTTGAGAACCTGGGTCTGGATTACCAGGCGCCCGCTTTTCGCGGCAGGGTGCCCTCTCGCTCGAAGAAAGGTGCTTCGAAGAGAGGAAAGATCAAGTCTTCCTCCACCGGAGCAGCGACTCAGGTTGAAGCGGATGCGCCTGCCGCCTCGGCAAGCAAAGGAAAGGGGCGTTCAAGCCCACGAAGGATCAAGCCTCAGAAAGTACCAAGCGCCCCTCTCGTAGAGGAAGAGAGTGTTCCTGCTAGCTTTCAACCAGAGGAGGGGGCGCTTGCTGTTGACGTTCCCTCTGTTCCCGAGTTGGATATCGATGACGTCCTCCTTGGGCAAAAACTCAGGAGGAAGGTCGAAGGTGATGCCTCGGCGCAGAGCAAGAAGCAGCGCACAAGCGCGGAGGCGCAAGTGTCAGAGTTCGTGGAAAAGTGGCTGCAATCGCCCATGCATAGGGTCGAGATTGCCTTTTCGGACAGATCTGCATTGGAGAGGGGCCCTGCGCTTGGGTTTGCCTTTCACGCAGCCCAGGTTCTGAGGTCGCCTAGCGACGTTCAAGTATGCGCCTATCTTGCCTACTTCCCTCTCGACTTGTGCACGTGTTACTGACATGGACTTTTGATTTTTCTTTCAGTCCAGATGCTTCTACTTGGAAAGAATGGCGCCTTGGCCGGTGAGGCGCTGAGCGTTGGAGAGGCGGAGGCCTCCGCCTCCCTTGGTGTGATGCGCGATGATTTGGAGCCGGCGCAGAGGCGCCAAGTAGAGTTGGTGCAGGCGTGCGAGGACGCTAGTATTGAGGCAACAAAGGCTGCATCCCTCGTCCAATAGTCGATGGATGAGGAAAAGAGGAAATTGAAGTTGGAGTACGAAGCCCAACTCGAGATTGTCAAGAGGGCGCATCACGAGGAGATGGCCAAGCTTGTGAAGGAAAAGGCCGACCTAGACAAGAAAGCAGGCGCCCAAAGGAGTGAGATTGACCTCCTCCTTGAAGAGAAGAGAGCTTTGCAAAAGGAGAAGAAGATTCTGGTCAAAGAAAACAAGAGGCGCCAGGAGGAGTTGGAGGCGCTCAAGGGGGGAGAAAGCTACACCAGAGGCGCCTGCCTCGGAATTGGCGCTCAAGGCCCAGGCGTCCCTCAACAACATTCTCATTCTGAAGAGAAAGCTGGAGGTTGACCATCCCACTATCAACTGGGATGTCAAGGAAATGGCCAACTTTGTGATTGACTTCATGGCCAGTGGGCGCCCAGTTGTTGATGCTGCTCCTGCGCCTCCCGAGGATCCGGTGGATGAAGAAAACTCGGGGTCAAGCTCGAAGTCCAGCGACGAATCAGCTGGCAACGAATAGAATTGTTCTATGACATTATATTGTTTAACGTTTGAGCATGAACATTTGGGCGCCTTTTGTTTACATGTTTCATCGTACTTTTATTTTCTGGCCTATCTTCTATTTTGCTCACCGGACGCAATAACAGGCGCCTTGACCTTATTGACGTCTTACATTTATTTTCGTGCCTATCTTACTTGCGTGTCTTATTCTATTTTCACCTAGGCGTGAGTGGTATAATGCTGAGGGCGCTATGTGGGGGCGCATTTAAGGGCACAATGATTTGGTGCTATGGGAGAGTTGCGTGCACAACGTTTTGGTGCTATGGTGCTTTATGAGTGCCGGACGCATTAAGGGCACAATGATTTGGTGCTATGGGAGAGTTAAAGAAGTATATATGTATATATAATCCAATTCAAAAAACAACCTTGGGGCGCTATTACCGGGCGCTTTAAGTATCCCGGGCACTGGAGGGCACTTTACACAAATACTATGGGCGCATAAGGGCGCTTTACAATACTACGGGCGCATAAGGGCGCTTTTGAATACACCTACCAAAAAAAACCCCTAAGGTTTGGCGCCTTCTCTTGCAATTACCACTCGCTAGACGCCCCTTCTGGCACCATGTCTTCTTCCCCTGCCACACTAGCCTCCACAAACCCATACTTGCGTAGGTTCTGTGCATTCCAAGTTCTCTTTACCTTTTTGACCGATAAATGTTACAACTTAAACGTGCTCGGGCCAAATACCTCTTGAACACGATATGGCCCCTTCCACTTTGGTGCCATTTTTCCATCAGTGGCCTTTGGGCGAAAATCACGCTTCAGCACCAAGCACCCAGCTACAATGTCATGCGGGCGCATCTTCTTGTTGTAATGTCTGGCTACCTGTGACTTCATCGCCTCCAGACGCAGAGCCTCCCTTTCTCGACGCTCATCAAGGAGATCAAGCTCATAGATCCGCTCATGCTCCTCCATTGACTCCTCCCTATGCGCCATTCGAAAGGTCGGGATACGAATTTCTACCGGTAGCACCGCTTCACTTCCATACGTCAGCGCAAAGGGTGCTTCCCCTGTTGCAACTTTGAAGGTGGTTCTATGCGCCCATAAAACGCTTGGCAGCTCCTCCACCCAGTTTCCCTTGGCTTCTTCCAGCATGGTATGTAGCCCATGCAATACACTTTTGTTGGCTGCTTCAGCTTGTCCATTTGCTTGCGGATAAGCTACAGAAGAGAACCTCAGGACTACCCCATTTTCGTCGCAAAAGTCAATGAACTTTTTGCCATCAAACTGCTTTCCGTGATCGGTGATGATCGACTCTGGCAGCCCGAATCTTGTGAAGATGTTCTTTCTTGTAAACTTTTGCACTTGCACTTCCGTGATGGATGCAAGTGGTTCCGCCTCAATCCACTTGGTGAAATAATCAATGGCCACAATCAAGTACTTGAACTGTCCAGGCGCCTTGGGGAAGGGCCCCAGAAGATCCATCCCCCATTGAGCAAAAGGCCAGGCTCCTACGGTCCCTTGCATGGGCGCCGTTGGTATATGTATGTCATTGGCGGATTTGACACTGGTGGCACGTGGCCACGTGCTTTCCAGCATCAGCCCTCATTGTCGGCCAATAATATCCTTGTCTGAGCAATACTTTCTCCAGGCTACGAGCGCATGTGTGCATTCCACATGTTCCTTGATGTATCTCCGCGATGACCCTTTGTCCTTTAGCCTCCGTGAGGCAACGTAGATAGGCACCCGAGTGGGATCTCTTGTATAACACTCCCTCCACAACGACACATCGGGCTACTTTTCTTCGTAAACGCCAAGCCTCTTTCGGATCTTTCGGGACCACGCCCTGCGCTAGGAAAAGCATGATAGGTGCCATCCATCCTTCCATCGTTCCCATGGAGATAGGCGCCATCACCCTCTCCTCACGCGGGTCTTCCTTGGTGACGATCACCGTTCTATCCTCCCCAAAATCCAACGTCGTAGCCAATTTAGATAGGGCGTCCGCATGAGCGTTTTCCTCTCTTGGAACATGTGTGAACGTAGCCTCCCGAAACCATGCGCACTTTTCTCTTACTGAGTGAACGTATGCTCCCAGCGCCTCCTCCTTCACCTCATACACATTATTCAACTGGTTGACCATGAGCGCCAAATCAGTTTGAACATTGACCTTCTGAGCGCCTAACTCCTTTGCCATGTGGAGTCCTGCGAGGATCACCTCGTATTCGGCAACATTGTTTGTTTTGAGAGACGCAAAGCACAAGGCGACCTCATGCATAGCGCCCAGTGGGCTAATCAGAACAATTCCGGCTCCCGCGCCTGCCCGGCTTGCTGCTCCATCCACTTGGACTTGCCAACATTCTTCCGCGCCACTTCCCACATCAACCACTCCCTCGGCCACAAAATCAGCCAACATTTGCACTTTGATGGCCGGCCTAGGCGCATAGCTTACATCGAACTCACTTAGTTGGACAGCCCATGGAACCAAGGACCGTTCGGAGAGGCAGATTCGTGAGTACCACAATACTATGAGCTTGGAAATAAGGTCGGAGTTTGTTTACTGCCATTACCACTGCCAGCGCTGCCTTCTCAATGGGCGCATATCTCGTTTCATGTCCCACCATTGTACGACTTACATAATACACCGGTCTTTCCTCATTCGTTGACGGGTCCCTGGATATTAATACCGCTCACGGCAATCCGAGAGACTGCAATGTCCAAGTATAGTGTTTCCTTAGCCTTGGGAGCGGTCATCACCGTGGGCGCCGTTAGCAACTTCTTTGAGTCCTCAAAGGCTTCATCACATTCCTCCGTCCAACTAAACTTGCTAGCCTTCTTCAAGACCCTAAAAAAGGGGGCGCCTATATCGGAGGCTCTTGGAATGAAGCGCCCAAGCGCTGCTAACCTTCCTGTCAACCCTTGCACCTCTTTTGGCGTTCGGGGGGGGGGGGGGGGGCAACTTCATAATTGCTTCAATTTTCTTGGGGTTGGCCTCAATTCTTCTTCTTGTGATCATGAATCCCAAAAACTTACCGACCTCTGCTAGGAACACACACTTCTTCGGGTTAAGTCGCAACTTAAATAGGCGCATAGTCTCGAATGTTTCCCGCAAATCCATGATGTGGTCTTGGCGCCTCTTGCTCTTTACAATCAAGTCATCAATGTATGCTTCCACGTTCCTTCCCAACTGCTCGTGGAAGATTTGATTTACCATGCGCTGGTAGGTGGCGCCTGCATTCTTTAACCCGAATGCCATCACTTTGTAGCAGAAGTTGCCAAAGGGTGTCATGAAAGCGGTCTTTGCTCTATCTTCCTCCACCATGGGGATCTGATGATACCCTGAAAACATGTCAAGGAAGATAAGCGCCTCGTGGTAAGCTGTCGCGTCCACGAGCAAATCAATGCGCGGCATTGGGTAGGCATCAGTTGGACACGCCCGGTTAAGGTTGGTAAAATCCACACACATTCTCCAGTCCCCTGACGGCTTTGGGACGAACACAACCTCATATCTTCAGGGACTTGTGCCGACACTCGTACCTGTCGGTCTGGGCGCCCTTCTTCAAGTGGCACACTTAGTTCGTCGTCGACAGGCTCCGCTCTCGGCGCCTCCTCCGGGCGAATGTCTATGTTGTTCACCCGGTGTCTCCTGGCGCTCCTTCTCCTCTGCTCTTCCTCCCGCGCGTAGCTGGGGGCGTTCTCTCCTTGTGAGATACCTATGCCTTGCGGTGCAACAAATTTCAACATTTGGTGACAAGTGGAGGCCACCCCATTAAATAATGCCAAAAGGGGCCTTCCTAGTATGACGTTATAAGGCGAGGGGCAATCCACTATCCCAAATTCCACCACATGCGTCACCCGATGTATTCCGTCACCCAATGTTACCGGGAGGCGCACACGCCCAATCACATGGGCAGGCGCCCCTGAGAATCCTATCAGTACCAAGCCGGAGGGGCTCACTAACTCCGGCGCCAACTGCATGCGCTCAAACGTGCTCTTGAATAAGACATCCATCGAGCTTCCAGTGTCAACCAGCAACCTTTTTACTTTGCTCCCGGCAATGACACCTTGTATCTCCAAAGCCTCCTCCGAAGGTAATGCCTCATCAGGCTCCTGGTTGGTACAGAGGAGCCTGCAACTACAAAGGCCCCGAACGCGCCTGCGATCGCGACTCCGGCGCCTGCCTCCGCCAACCCGAGTAATTGACATTTTCCCTTCCGCTCTCCGAACTTTTTGTATTCGGTTTGATCCTTTGCTATGCGCCCACAAGCGGTCTTAGGCCCTTAGTATTGACCAAGGACGATTGGATCACTTTTAGGCCCCACGCCTACCTTGTCAGCGTCGAGTGATTTGGTGATTTCTCCGGCATCCACTGATTCAGGGGCCCTTGAAGACGAGTCTTTGAAGATAGTTGATTGGGAAGATTCATGGCCACAGGGGGAAGTGCCTGAAAGCACCAGCAAGCTATTTGTTCGCCGAGCTGGGCCGAAACATGTGTCCACCGTCAAGATAGCTGAATTGCATCGACTGATTACTTCCTGCAACCTGCCTCGCACCTAGACCTATGCACCTGCCTCACCAGTTTCCAGGATAGGAGTGGTTGGCCCACAATGGCTTGGTGTATATAGCGAGTATTTCAGATTCGAATTACGCTTCCCCTTGGTTCAATCTTAGAAGGGATTCTATCAACATGCGCCTGTTCACTTGGGCGCCTATCGCCCTCAGTTTTCTTGATTCACGTCCTGTTTAAGCTGAAGTGCCGTCAGAACAACATCACGCCCACGTTCAAGCTTTTCCGATATTTTTTTTACCATGACCAGCAGTGACAACTGCTTGTCCCTACAGAGGCCCCTGGACATCGCGGGACACTTTGTAGTAGATTGCCCGAAGTTGGGGCGCGAATGGTATAGGGGCTATTTTTTCATTAAGGCGCGCGCAGAGTCGTTTTACGAGAGTGGCACCCGCTTCACCCGGGGTTGGAAAGTTTGTGGTACTACACAATTTAACATTGACGTGGAGTTATCTAGCGTCGAGAAAGAGCATGCGCGCTTGCTTTCCCTTCACCCCGTGAACTTAAGTTCGACTGCCGCTAGAACCCTTGTGTTGCCTGAGTACTACGCTGATGGTGGGTAGGCACTTAGCAGTGTGCTTATATCGCCGCAAATTACACGCACCTGTGTTCCTTTGTATATGCATAATAGTTATAGTGATTTTGTTTAACCGTGTATTTTCTGTTGCAGGCGTGGTCTTCACATCTATCGCCTTTCTGATGAAGACCCAACTTGAGAACCTGTGTCTAGATTACCTGGCGCCCGCTTTTCGCGGCAAGGACCCCTCTAGCCCTAAGAAAGGTTCTTCGAAGAGAGGAAAGATCAAGTCTTCCTCCATCGGAACAGCGACTCAGATTGAAGCGGATGCACCTGCCGCCTCGGCAAGCAAAGGAAAGGGGCGTTCAGGCCCACGGAGGATCAAGCCTCAGAAAGTACCAAGCGCCCCTCTCGTAGAGGAAGAGAGTGCGCCTGCTAGCTTTCAACCGGAGGAGGGGGCGCTTGCTGTTGACGTTCCCTCTGATCCCGAGTTGGATATCGATGACGTCCCCCTTGGGCAAAAACTCAAGAGGAAGGCCGAAGGTGATGCCTCGACGCAGAGAAAGAAACAGCGCACAAGCGCGGAGGCGCAAGTGCCCGAGTTCGTGGAAAAGTGGCGGCAACCGCCCAGACATAGGGTCGAGATTGCCTGTTCGGACAGATCTGCGTTGGAGAGGGGCCCTGCACTTGGGTTTGCCTTTCACGCAACCCAGGTTCTGAGGGCGCCTAGCGACGTTCAAGGCGCGAACTTGTGGGGAGAGGTGGCGCGCATAGCCGCCCAGGTATGCGCCTATCTTGCCTACTTCCCTCTCGACTTGTGCACGTGTTACTGACATGGACTTGTGATTTTTCTTTCTGTCCAGATGCTCCTGCTTGCCAAGAATGGCGCCTTGGCCTCCCTCGGTGCGATGCACGATAATTTGGAGACGGCATAGAGGCGCCAAGCATAGTTGGTGCATGCGTGCGAGGACGCTAATATTGAGGCAGCAAAGACTGCATCCCTCGTCCAACAGTCGATGGATGAGGAAAAGAGGAAATTGAAGTTGGAGTACGAAGCCCAACTCGAGATTGTCAAGAGGGCGCATCACGAGGAGATGGCCAAGCTTGTGATGGAAAAGGCCGACCTAAACAAGGAGGCAGGCGGCCCAAGGAGTGAGATTGACCTCCTTCTAGAAGAGAAGAGAGCTTTGAAAAAGGAGAAGAAGATTCTGGCCAAAGAAAACAAGAGGCGCCAGGAGGAGTTGGAGGCACTTAGGGGGGAGAAAGCTACACCAGAGGCGCCTGCCTCGGAATTGGCACTCAAGGCCCAGGCGTCTCTCAATAGCATTCTCATTCTGAAGAGGAAGCTGGAGGTTGACCATCCCACTATCAACTGGGATGTCAAGGAAATAGCCAACTTTGTGATGTTGGTCTTTCTATGTTGATGGTCGATTTTTAAAATGCTTTCAATTTAGTTGATCGTGGGGCCATGCTTCAGGAAGTTCGCCATCGTTGCCTGGTTCTTTCCCGATGGGTAGCGTTCTATTACTCTAACCCTGCCCGTCTGTATTATGAGGAGCATAACTTATGGTCTTACCAAGGGGTTCAGCAGGGAGACCCTTCGGGCCCTTTGCTTTTTGCTTTGGTGTTGCATTGTTTAGTGTGCAAGATCAGAGGCTCCTTTGATCTGAGTTTGCAGGCCTGGTATTTGGATGATGGCACTATTGTGGGGGACACTTTGGTTGTAGGGAAAGTCTTAGACATGATTATGGATGAGGGCCCTCGATTTGGGCTTCACCTAAATGTGGATAAGACGAAGATTTTTTGACCCACTGAGGATCCTAGGAGTCGAGTTTTTGGTGGTTTTCCTGCCTCTATTGCTCGAGCTTCACATGGTGCCACCGTTCTGGGTGGGCCTGTTAGTACTTGTCCTGATTTTAACATTGACCTTGTGGAAAAGAGAGTTACCAAAACCATCCAGCTGATGGACTTGATTGCGAAGATTGATGACCCACATTGCGAGTTGCTTTTGCTTCGGGCTTGCACTGGTATTTCAGAACTCTACTTTGCTTTGCATACTTGCTCCCCTCGTGTTTTTGTGCTGGCCCAACTCTCTTATGACACAGCCCTTCGTTCCAGTTTAGAACGTATTGTCACTGCTTCTGGGACAGGGTTCGGTGATTGGCAGTGGCGACTTACTACCTTCCTTTTTCATTTAGGTGGGCTTGAGGTTTATGCTGCGGAAGATGTCTTGCATTTTGCTTTTTTGGCATCTTGTTTGTAGTCTGCTGAGTTGCTGGATAAGCTACTACGTCCTTATGGTATTCCCCCTCATGGCCCTGTTTTTGATGATGCCCTTCGCACATTCAATGAGTTTACAGGTTCTGATATCTTAGACCTCAATGAAGTTGATTCCCCAAAACTTATAAAGAAATTGGCAGACATATATTTCACGAAGGTTGATGCTACTTCATATTCTGTTTTTTGTTGACTACTCGTCAAATTGCTTTGTGGAAGTCCCAGTAGAGTGCACACTCTTCTGATTGGTTGCGTGTTGTTCCTATTCCTTGGTTGGGCACACTATGAATGAAAGGACATATCGTAGTGTGCTAAGTTATCGACTGGGTGTCCCTCTATTTTTGGTATCTAAGCCTTGTTCTGCTTATTCCTGTGTCTTTGATGGTGATGTCTTTGGGGATCATGTTGTGTCCTGTGCTGGAATTGTGGGCATCAAGCATCGGTGTAACCTCGTTTGAGACACCTTACTGGACATCTGTTACAGGTCTGGGATTTCTGTCGGAAATGAGGTTGATATCGGTTTGGTTGATGGGCATGGCAGACCCCTTCGTCCTACGGATTTGCTGCTTTATTCCTGAGATAGGGGGCAAGATGTGTGTATTGATCTGACTGGTTCTTCACCTTTGACTCAGACCGGGATGACCGATTTTGTGCCAGGCTGAGTTGTTGTTGATGCTGCTCGACGAAAGTGTGCCAAGTATCGGGACTTGTGCATGGCGGCTGGTTACGGGTTCCTGCTCTTTTCTTTCTCTTTGCTGGGCAAGTTAGATACAGATGTTGTGGCTTTAATTAACCGCATCCAGAAATTATCCGTGTCTCGAAATGCGGGGGCTCGGGCGGCCGCGTACATTTTCACTAGACTTAGCTTTGCTGTCGCTAAGGGAGTGAGAGCCCAAATTGTATCTAGGCTACCCACTAATTTCCTGTAGACCTTTGTTTGTTTATAATCTTTTATCTAGCCCAAAATGATATGTTGAATGAAAAAAAAATTATCCAAATTAACCAAACCAAATTAGCCAAACACTACCGGTTAAAACGATTACCACGGTAACCACACCGTTTGAACACCCCTAATACTTGCAACAAAATTCAGTTTCACATTTATATATATATGGTGACTTATACGGTACCCCGGGTGAAATCCGGGGTACAACATACTTTAAGTATGAAAACGCTAAGCATCGATTTAGCAGAATTTCTGGACATGATACTACACCCTAACCCTTAATGAGTGAACTATCGGTCCTAATTATCTAAATCATAAACTATATACCTTAAGATGGTGCATTCAATTTTTTTCTCCTATATTTGGACGAATTATAACCGTCAATTATTGTTTCTAATTAAATTGATCTTGGGGTATAAGATTTAGAGAGTTAAGACCTAAATTTTGATCTTTAAGGATTAGATTATAGTATCATGTTTGAAAAACCAGTCATTTCAAAATCTAAATAATTTTTTCATATTCAATTTATGTGATACCCCGAATTTCACGTCGCGTACAGTAAAACTCACCATATATTATATCACATCCAATCTACTAGACACATCAACTCCAAGGGTAGGTCACTAGAAAAACTACTCAAGCTTCTCTCTACGAGATTGATGAAGTTCTCTCGCAAAACAAAGATGTTTCCCTCCAATGAACAATTGTAGTTATCTTTTTTTTTTTTATAAAATAATTGTAGTTATCTGTTATCCCATTTAATACACTAACATACCAGATCATATACAAAATTCTTGTCTTTGAGGATACATAAATCTCCTAAAAGTGGTACTCCTAGTTTCATTTGGACACCTTGGCATCACATCCAACAACATCTATAATGTATTGAACAAGGTAATCCTTTGGTTTTAACACCAAAGAAGCACCGCCGGCAAAATGGAAGTTCATGGAAGGAAACAAACTGAGATAACTGGAACTAACTAGGTTTCACTGTTACCGCTTGACCATTGGATCAACATCCAACATACACCTGTTGACTATAATGCATCCCTGACCCCATCCAAGAACAAAAAAAAATCTGAATCGTTAAATGTCGCCCTAAGAATTGCTGAACGTCGCCCTAATTTAAATGGCAAATTACCTATATACCCTTAATGAAAATTGAAAAAATGCAACAACCAAACAACCCTTTACCCTCCTTCCCAGCGGGAGACGAATCCCTCTTCCCATCCACCCTCTGCAACTCCTTCCCGCCGCCGCCGCCGGCAAACCCCTCCCCCTCTGCAACTCCTTCCCGCCGGCGCGCTGTTCCCGTCGCTGAAGAAGAAGGTGTCGCGCGCTGTTCCCATCGCCAGAGAAGAAGGAGTCAACCGCGGTCAACGTGCGGTTGAACTAACGGCTGACCGCGGTCAAAGGGCGATTGACCGATGGTGTATCAATGAAGATTTATTAGGAGACTAACCGTGTCGACTGCCCCAGTAGATGATTGAAGCCACTTCTTGAAGGAGGAATGGGCAGCTTCAACCCTATTAGAGCTTGTGTTACCCAAATGTTGCACTTGATTGGTATAACAGTTAGCCCACATGTGTCTAACTGGTAACCACTCAGCTGTCATATACCCCCAAAGACGTCGGTACTGTACTCCCCAACTACGTCTGAAATTGTCTAAGGCAGTATCCATGTCTTCCACTGTCAATGCATATACAACACGTTGCCAAGACGCCATGATATGATCCACTGTCGGTTTGGCTGCATCTATACCACAAAGAAAAATATGTTACAACTGTTCAAAATTTTGTCATCTAATCTTTGCCTCGTGTAACTCCTGCCTCCTATTCTCATACAAAGAAAATAAATCATATGCATTACCATTTCCTTCTCTATAAATTATGAGAATACAAATATTAGAAATCTAAAAAAAAATTAGCAACTAATAAGAGGGTTTTGTTTATTTTTATGGTGGTTCACATACTTTCTTGATTTCTTATTTTCAAAGTTGGTTTTTATTTCTAATGAGACAATCAAAATGGGGAAAGGGACACAAAACAAATTAAAAGTTTGCATTAATAATTAATATGTTTTCATTTAATCGGAATAAATAAGAATTAAAAAAAAATTATTGTTGTGTCAAGTTTATATTCAAACTTTTTGCTATAAAACTCTTATACTTGTTTTATTTGATAGGTATATACATTAGAAAGAAGTGAGTGTTTGATAGCAAAAAACATATAGTCATATCGTTCATTTCTCAAAGTCGATTGATTATCAAACGCTTGTTTTCTCTTAGACCATCGTTTATATTTTTTTTAATTAAAAATTATTATTATTTATGTGTGCGCTTGTTTTGTTCTTCATAAAAATGTAACTTATTATTAAATTTTAGTAAAAATGAGTAGAAAATTTACTTAATCAGATTTAATCAGCTTGGGTTAAACAAATACGATATATGTCACTCTCTGTTTCCATCTTTATAGTTTGTTTAATTGAAAAAAAAATATTATTACTTATGTATGTGTCTGTTTGTTTAAATGTTTTCTATAAAATTAACTAATTTTAATTTTAGTAAAAATGAGTAGAATTATTAAAAGAAGAGAGAGATAACTTCATAAATAGATCAATAAATAGTTTTTTGTTTGTAAAAAAATTGTCCACCTTGGTAACTTGTGCATTCACCAAGTGCTTATGTGGCAAGAAGTTATTTTTGAATAGTCATAATATTTAGTATAGATAGATAGATAGATAGATATAGATATAGATAGATAGATAGATAGATAGATAGATATAGATAGATAGATAGATAGATATAGATATAGATAGATAGATAATTGTTGGTGGTTAGTGCAAATTAATTAGGATTTGGTGGAAAATTTTCTTTATTATTATTAAAGCCCCAATGAGTTTTATATAAATAACAAAGACCCACTTCTAAAAATAATTTTAATGTTGATAAGAAAAATACATAATTTGTAAGACTATTAAGGGATATGAGTCTTACAAATTATATAACAACACTCATACTTTACTTATAATCTAGGATAAATATAATTTATTTGCAAAATCTTTTGAACTTACAAAACAAACCATTATACATATCTAAAACACACCAGACACTTGCAAATGCATTCCACAAAGCTACTAAAACATACCAGAAACACTATAAAGCAAATCACAAATATTGCAAACGCACACCATAGACCTCATAATGTAGACCATAGTTAGTAGATACTTCGTTTAATACACGTATATGTACCCGTACGTAGTTTATCGGTTTAAAACTTTCGTATCCGTATTATTGTCAAGCCATTTGATTTTCTTCCATTCATTTGATGACTCTTGTACTAAACATGTATAAAACCCGTATAACACGTTTAATATCCGCATTTAATGAATTAAAATATTAACTTTACTATTATTTTAATATTGATTTATTTTTAAAATAATTATTTTTATATATTTATGACTAATTAACGTACTATTAAACGTAACATTAGCTTATAGATGAAGTAAAATACTCGTACGTATTATATACGTAAAATACCTATACCGTATTTTACTAACTATGATGTAGACCACAAATCTCATGAAGCACACGAGAAACACCATAAAGCACACCACAAACACGGTAAAGCAAATTACAAAGAGCATACAACAATCTCCTAATGCAGGCCACAAATCCCCTGAAATATACCAGAAGCATAACAAAGCAAAACATAAATATTTTGAAAGCACATTAGAAACTTATTAATGCAGACGAGTAACATGATAATGCGGACCAAAAAAGGCAGATGCAAAAGTAAACCAGAAATCTATTAATGCATACTACAATATTTGATGACCATCGATCATTGACCAAACTTCGGCCACTGATCATCGAACCCCGACGATCGATGACCAAATTCTGACACTGGTAAGCATATTCAAACCACAGTGATCGGATTCCGACGATGTGAGCATATTCCAGTCACGATGACCGGATTCCGGCAACTTTGAGTAAAATCCGGTGACGTTGAGCATATTCTGACCATGATGGATGAATTTCCGGCCACAGTGAGGGTATTTTGGCGACCAGCGACTGAAAATTAGGACAAAACATAAAATATTTATTTTATAATTATATTATTATTCCATCATTAATTCTATTTTTATTAATTATTTAACCATAATATTCACAAGATTATTATACCCTTTCATTAATTTTACACTCTGTCAACCTATCTAATAAAAAGTAATTACAATAATAACTTTTATTAGTAGGACACTAGTGTTGTTACCCTAACAACACAATATGTGTTGTCAAATGTCACCATATCTAGTCCGAGTAAAAGACAAAAAACTAGACAAGCTAAAAAACTTTTAAAGCACGCTAGCTGCAATCAAACTAAAACGCACATATAGTTAACGATCGTCGAAGATAACATACATCTCTTTCCACGCTGATCTCAATACACTGTAATGTACCCAACTAGAATCTAGGTGTTAACCTAGTCCATAGTGTCAAGAACCAGTTGATCCTAATAACTCGAGTTGTTGGGAGAATGTTTTGCTGGATCTTATACCATTCTCTAACACGCCCCTCAAATGAAAGTCAACCCATGGGCATGAAGTTTGCACAGGCCCACCATACATTTTGTTTTAATCAATTGTTAATATCGGGGGTCGTGGAGATTCGAACACACGATCACTTGACCAAACCAACTCTGATACCATGTCAAGAATTAGTTAATTTCAATAACTCGAGTTGTTGGGAAAAGATTCTACTGAATCTTAATACCATTCTCTAACACATTGATGCACCCTTCTCTCCCGGGTTCTCTTCTACCATACTCTTAGAATGCTGGATCTTAATACCATTCTCTAACACATAGATGCACCCTTCTCTCCCGGGTTCTCTTCTACCATACTCTTAGAAAGGTCTCCACTCTCCCCAGTGGTTCGTGCCAATGACCTTATGCAGGTTCGAAGTTTCAACTCTCAACAAACATTTTTCCCCTATGCGCTCATCTCCTATGTCATGAGGAAGGCTAGGACAACCATATCGGCAAACCAAAGGACATCTGAGATCTTGGCCGACTCTCCACATTGAAATGACGATGGGACGTGCGAAAGGCGATCGATTGAAACGGGGATCGGATCCAATGAGAAGGCGATGTGCATGTCAATTTTCATTAACGTTAAAACTAGGGAGGGGAAAGCCGACTATGGCTCTGCCTCACAATACACCAAAAACAGGGGATGGAAGGAAAACCTGCAACTCAACATTATCCCCCGTCCCCCACACCCCTATACTCTTCTCTGGTTCAATTTTGCCCCACTTCTGTTGGATTTGGTGGGTTTCTTTGCTCACTGATTGAGCCTTTTTCCTTAACGTCCCTCTTGAATTCATGTTTTGCTTTCATGCATTTCGTCTGATGGACGTGAAAAAGTCTGGGAATAGACCTGGATCGTGGAATTAAGACGACGAGACTACATTGTTTTGTTCCTTGACTTTTGTCCTCTAGCTTTAATCATACCTCAACCCTATATACACACTTTCTCAATTGTTTCCAAACTCCCTTCCAGGGCTTAGAAAAGAGGTGTCTGTGGAGACTTTGCTGCCACAGAGCAATAACTTACTTTCCCCTGTTTTATATAATGGACGGACTTGAAAAAAGCTTCTAAAGTTCTCACCCTCGGATTAACTAATTGGTTATCACATTTAGTATTTTTAGGTTAATATCTTAGTTTGGTCCGAACTATATACAAACTTTCTACTTTGGTTCGTGGTATCGGAAATCGATATTATGGCCTGAACTATGTAGTATCTTCCTTATTTGACCCGCAGGCGTGTTTGACTGTCAAATTAGACGGTCAACTAAGTTGACCTTTAGTCAAGGTCCAGCTCACTTGTCACATCAGCAAGCAGAGAATAAAAAAAATATGAACTTCTTCGTTTTTTTTTACTTTCTAATAATAATAATACACGAAAACCCCAAATTAATTTTTTCCGATTAAGGTGAGAGGGGGAGGGTATAAATTTGGGGTTTTTTTTAATTATGTTTTTTGTTTATTATTTTATTATTAGAAAGCAAACAAAATGTAGAAATTTAGAAAAACAATTTTTTATTCCCTGCTAGCTGATGTGGCAAGTGAGTTGGACCTTGACTAACGGTCAACTCGGTTGACCATCTAATTTGACGGTCAAATCCGCCTTCGGGCCAAATAAGGAAGTATGCTACATAGTTCAGGCCAGAATAGCAATTTCCGATACCACGGGTCAAAGTAGAAAGTTTGTTTATAATTCGAGTCAAACTAAGATATTAACTCTATCTTTTAAGGTTACATTTTCCTCTGGCGGTGATGGGTCTAGCTGTCTAGGGTGTACAACCTTGTTTATCACACTTGCATAATTAAATATGATTTCTTAATTTAAGGAAATGAGACTAAAAAGACTTTTAATTTTTTCATACTTTGTAATTTATCTTCTTTTTTATTAACTTAGATGTAAAAAAAAAATTCACAAATATATCAAGTTCGTTGTGATTTACAAAATGATATTAATTTGAGAATTTTTTTACCACCCATACCACTAGTTATCAACTTGGTACCACCTTCTTTTTCACTCAATTTTTAAATAAAAAAGGAACGAGTTCATCGTGATGTATTGGATGAGCTGATAATAAATGTCTCAATTTTTATTGTCCCAAAGTATATCAAAATGAATATCATTTTGAAGAACACAAGTAATCTAATTTATCTGTGAAAACAAATTACAACCTAAAAAAGTGAAAGAGATATAGTACATTAAAATTAATTGGAGAAAAGTCTGTTGTCTTTCATAAATGGTAAGTGAAAATTTTTTAAAAAAATTTACCCAAAAAAATGAGTTTCTCCTAATCTATTGAATCTACAACTTTTTTAGGAAACAAATTCAAGACTAAGTATTCCCGGTGAAGGATTGTAACTAGTGGGTGGTGGATGGTGATGCATTTGATCGATTTCCTGTATTCCATGAGCAATCTTGAATTGCTGATTCAAGTGAACAAAACTGATGCCCAGAGGAGTTTCCGGAGTGCTCTGCTCCATCTGCTTTTCCTAGCCCAACAACACTATTCGCTGCTGCATTATTTAAATTGATTGCCTTAGCTTCTTGCTCTACTTCTGTGTCTCCTCACGCCTATCTTCTTCTTCGAGACTATTGTTAGAAGAGGAAGTTGGGTAGCTGATTTGTAATTAGCCACTTATATATATAGGCCTGGCCGAACCTATATATACTTTTGTACATGTAGATGTGTTGATGCACACCGAAATTTTGTGAATAATAAAACCCTATTGCCTTGTGTCGTGGACTAGTCTCAATGCTTGTCGGTGGGGAAATCACGTAAACAGGGGCGGATCCACCTTTGAGCAAGGTGTGTCGGGATTGGTTCGAAATTTCGGTGTACAAAATTCGAATATAGGACCTCCGACACACCTCCAATGATTGTAACCGACTCACATTATTACATTTCAAAAAAATTGATTTCATAATGTTATTAAAATATGTAAATATAGGAGTTATCGGACTTCATATTAGGTAGTTAATTAGTTGGTTGCACAAGAGTAAACAAATAATTGACTACTTAGTACGCAGTGAGTATTTAGAAAAATAGCTATCACGTTAGAGACAACATCGATAATTTGAATGAGAATTAAATTGATTAATAAGCTGGTTGAGTAAAATAATTAGATAGTGAATTCCATACTGTCTTTCCCCATTAGCTTCTTCCATAGATTTTTCTTTAAGTTCATTTTTAACTTGCTTTCTAGTTTAGTTATTTCTTTCCACGTTGACGCCAGCAAACAACCCTTCAATTATCGGCGTCGAGCCAACAACATTCTCGTGCTCATTCAAATTTCCATGTTAACACACGTGGCCAGTGGCCACCCTTCGAGCTTCTCATACCAAATTTCTCATCTTAAATTAGTATTGATTTTACCACTTGCATATGCAAGCTACAAAATGACATTTTCCATATTTGAGTTTAATCGAGAACAATCTTTGGTATAAGTTGAGTGACTAGTTTATGAATAATTGTTTGATTTTGTACATAAAAAATATATGATTTGCAACCTAATGGACAAATGTAATTAAGAAATCTTTCAGAATATGAAAACTCGTCATTCACTGTATAATATAATGAAATTAGTGAGATTTATGAATAAAATTTGTCTGTTTATTTTTAAATAATTAAATAATTAATGTTAAATTTTTTAATTTTAATTTTATTTTATTGGCCGACACCTATATCTCAAAACCTCGGGTCCGCCACTGCACGTAAATCCGGTGTCCTTTGAGTGATTGCTTTTTGATTGCGTTAAGGTTTTGACAACTACTATTA